AGTGGTTCGATATTTTATTATATTAGTAGATATTCTTTTTTAATATTTTATAAAATATCTCTAAAATCGATGCAGAACGTATAACAACGTCGAATCAAGAACGACATGTGACCGGTGTCGCTACAGTTTCCGATCTCCGAAATCTTTCTCCTGCATGATGCTGTTCTCTGTGCATCATTGTGTGCTACACGAGACACACGTTCGCAGACACACCACGACACCTTCACGAGCAGCAAGATACACCTAAAACGCAACTCACGTATACGTTTCCAAAGTCCGGCGCAACACTTCCGGTTCACCATTTAAATCTCCCCGACTCACGACTGATGTCTCTAATAAGTGACGAAACTTGCCGATTTCGTTGGAATGAAACGATGATCGGTCTAATAATTGATTAATCGCCTGCCGAAATCGTCGTATGTGTGGTATATGCGCGTGATGGAGCCATCGCGAAGGCTTCGTGTAGATAGGTAGCTAAATGGATATTCAGATTATGCGCTTTATGAGGAAGAGCCAACGAGGCGAACATGTTTGCGTCGTGAAAGACAAACTCGGTTCTCCGATCGCCAGGAAATTCGCGACGGTGCCGAACATCTTTCAAACGTCATAATCGGCATACATGTTAAGATTCACGCTGATTAAACATAGACCGGCTCATACAAGTTAGATAAATTACTTTATAACAAATAGCGCGATCGCGCAGGTAAGCGCAATATATGGCCATATAAAGTAGTTAAGTATCTCTCAACGTTTCCAAGAAGAAAAACAATGGAGATTATTGACAAGTAGTTAAAAATTAACGTAACATAAACATAGATAAGCGCTGCTATTTTTTTTCCATTGAATAAGAAATACAAAAATTTCAGTCTTTCAAAGAAAAGATGCGTCTGAAGTTCAATCTCGTCCGATTGCAGCGTATCGATAAATTTATTTCTGAATTAAATATATGAATAATAATTATCTAGAATATAAAATAAATTTAAGAATAAGAATATAAAGTAAATTTACTTCTAAATTAAATAAGGAAAATAACAAGAATAGAAATTAAAATCTCTTCTTTTCTCGAATTAAATAAATTTACTTTTTAAACGTGACAAAGAATTTTTCCTATCTTCCGCTTTAATTTTATCTTATACTGTAAATACATATATACAATCACGAAATAAGTTTTACGAGTCGCGGGAAAAAAGTAGGTGATAATAAATGTATATTTCTTTTATGTGTAAATTCGTTAATACCAGTGGAATAATTAACAATTATTAGTTTCTAATAATCAACGATGTATAAAAATAATGTATAGACTCTAATTGTGACAAATTGAATCTTCAAAGAAAAAAGTAACTACAAATTTTATTATTTTATTTTTTATTTTATTATATATATTTTTTATTATTGTTTTACTTTTAAATGAATATTAGTGAATTTAACGGTACGCTGCAAATAATGTTGTGCGATAAAAGGATAAATCGCAGAGAGCAAAATGTTTTTTCGTTTCTTCGTATAGATTATAGATTGTAGATTATAGATTCTATAGACTTTATAAGTATCGTACTGAATCATTTATTAGGAATGGCAAGATGACAAATCAAACTTAGTATCTTTTCTCTATTATATGTTTTATATAAAAATTGTAATTCTTTTTAAGAAAAATCTATACTTTATAAATAGCTTTGTAGGTTAATCTAGAAATTGTGTTTACACTTTAACGTGACATTATTAATAATTGAGAAAATCAGGTTAATTATTTTATTGAATTAAATTACGTATATCTAATTAATAATATCATCATACGATGTATAATTGCATTTATAGAGCCAATTAATATTTGTGTCATGTTTTTAATAATACTTTTTCCATTCCTGTAATATTTTTATTATTCTCTTTCTATATTATGAGAATCTTATCAGTATTTTAGAATTTTACTGCGAACATATGCATTCGTATGAAACAGTATTAAAAACTTTGCTCTATTCGCAACATGCAACAATCTAATATTTCTTGAAAGTCGAACACAATGGGAACAACAATACTTCCATTAGTATCTCATTGAATACCGTCAAAACAAATGACGCGCTTGTAATATGTAATGTTATTGTCGTTGTCTGTTGTATTGTCGATATCGTCTCTCTAAAAAATCGATCTAATATTTCCTCATGCAAATTTTCCAATTTCTCTTATCTCGCCAATTCTTTTTGTTCGTTAAGCTTATCGCGCTAACAAAAAGTCATGTATATTCTTTCTTCGTGCAGTGCACGATTAACCCTCTAATTTTTTCCAGGAAGCATGACTGTGCGAATGACGACGAGGCATTTTAGTGAAAGTCTGGGCGTGAAGATTAGGGAGAATACTGTTTCAGACAGCGTGAGAGGGAGAATGAGAGAGAGAGAGAGAGAGAGAGAGAGAGAGAGAGAGCTCTTCGGTGTTTGATTACAAGTTCTTTTTAGAAACGAGTACGGAGTCAATTGTTCATAAAAAACGTGCGCATCTTTCGATCATAGTTAATCGAAATCGTCGATACACAATTATAATTAAGTCAGGACGAGATCATTCAGCTAATTATAGAAATTTGAGTACTCACACATGTACTTACACGTGTACCAAGAAAAAATGGCGCGTACATTATACTCATATACATATTTATGCAAAGAGGAAAAGAAGGATATTGATAATAGCAAATTATATATATAGAGAGAGCATTAAGTAATAAATTTTATCGTGTCGTGCCAGGTAAGTCGGTAATAGTTTCATAAAGCCTAGCGCAAGAAAGAGATATAATAATACAAAAAAAAGGACGCAAGAGAAATTTTCGGATTTTCGACAGGCCGCGTCGTCGCATTTTCCATCCGGATGAGAATCGCAAGACTATGCTCAAGACCGAGTATCTCAAAACATCATGGTTAAATAATCAAATTGCTACAAACAAAGCGTCGCACGCTAACGCAGGAAGCAGCTTTCGCGAAAAACCGATTGCTCTTGTTTCCATGCGTCGGCGACGGTACGATCGCACGAAGTGTAATCCCCCGCGAAATCCGAATTCGCGCACGCATCGGCCCGATCGAGTTTCATTTTCGTTGATATTTAAAAAAAATATACCAGCCACACGCGCGAATTAGAAAGAGAAAAAGCGAACAAGACGTAGATGACGCATCCGATTTTCAAGACATTGGCGAGGGATAATTGCGCCATGTCTTCTTTATATTTTTAACGGCATTCTTATATAAACGGCAAAAGATATCTAAAGGATTTATTTATCGCAAACAATTTTTGTTTGAATCTAATCGTGGAGAGACGAAATTAACGAGAGATTTTTTTTCGAGATCGTCCATTCGAAATTTCTTTCGGTAATGTCACTCAAAATGAGAGAGAAGAAGAGAGATTTCCCCCCCAAGCAGAGTAAAAGTCTTGATGACATCAAAAAATACGTCGAAATAGCTGCAAAATGATTATTATAAAAATCACGATTTATTTTATCCTCATGTTATTGCGACCTGTTTTCCTGCTTGGGTCCATTTAAGATTACAAACGTAGTAAGAGGTTTTGAAAAAAAAAAAGACATTTTTAGGAAACAAATGATCGAGACGATCGAGGAATACGGCAGAGATGATTAAGTGTGAGAATTGTTTTAATTAGAGAAATTGAACTATCATTTTTCCATATATTGCTCACGTAATTTTAAGTAAATATTTTATCTTTTGCAAAGAGATATTCCGATTGTTGCTGCGCTCGATGCGCACTATGCGTATCGAACGTCGCAACGAAATGTTCGCATGTATAGTAGTTCATGCCTGTATAAATTCTATATCCTGTTTTCTCGATATAATTTCGCTCGCATTGACGTGAATTCGCGCGCTCTGCGAGAGATCTCCGCTGGAAGCTGCGCGGGTCAATAAAAATCGGTTCTCCAGGGCATTTCTCAAACGACTTTTGACTGCCAAATTTTACTCACCCGCGCAGCTTCCACGGGTTTGTGGTTATTCGATATTCGCGACAGGCAGCGTTCACAGGTACAAACGCGTATCCGCCAAGTGTAAGCCAGTACTTCGAGATGTATCTTCTAATTTAAATGGATATATAAATATATTCGGAGCATTCGCACAATGTAAGCTGTATATGCAACGTTCCATACATCGCGCGCTGCAATTATCCGTCACTGGTAGCAGCATAGCGAATATATATCAGGTAGAGAAGGGAAAATAGGGAGAAACCACGCAGATCGATGAACAGATAGACAGTAACTAAAAAAAAAAAAAAACAAGAGGATCGGAGGGTATCGATCATCCGAGCTTCGAAGTCAATGCGTTTGACGTCTAGAACAAGTGTGTTATATATAAATATGAACATTATAAATACATATTATAAAATTTAGATTTATATATATATATAAATATATATGTAAAAGAGAATGTTATGTATAGAGAAATGGATAACGGCGGGACGTGGAGAGGCACAAATATCAATTATGTCGTTATAACTTTCCCTTCAAACACAAAAAAGTCGCAATTAATATAATTTTATTGTGTCATTATTATCGTTGATGTTAATTATTATCGATTAAATGTTATCGGGCAGCGCTATTATTGACAACCTGTCGCTTTCGTTGTTTCCGTTGTTGTGGCTTAAGTACGTGGGAAGCGGACGAAGCTATAATCGATCAGCTGTCAATTAATTTCCGATGAGACTGCTGCAACACGAGATTCATTCTGATAACGAATCGTACAGCGATCCATCTTGAGCTTAAATTGTCCACAAAGAATACACGGTTGTGACCGTAGCAATTTTTCACGATGCAAAGAGAATTAGGACTAAATCTCAGGCCATTAAAAGTAGACCAGCGTAAAAATCTGATACTCATATAAAACTAGAGATTGAAATTTGATTGGAATTTAATAAAAAAAAAAAAGAAAAACCACTGAAAAAAGTAATTGTACTAATTTGAATTGTTTGAAAATGAACAAATCAGAATTTTCTGGTTGAGATGATAATTCATGATAATTCTAGTTAAGACAATCAGATTTTTGATTAACATTATTAGAACCTTCTTATAGTTCGTTCATTTTCAAATAGAAATTTTTCTCAGCCCAATCTCAAATTTAGTGAACAAATTTATTTTGATTAGTCAAATTCTAATCTAATCTGAATCTCAATCTTTAGTCTGATATGAGCTTAACATAATTTTGAAAATGAGTACATCTAACGAGGCAACGTTGCGTTGCGTTGGGAATAACGTTTGTCTTTTCGAATCACCAGCTCCGTTTTTTTGGGAACAATTCAATCAAAGATTTAAGACTCACGAGACGGAGTTTAAGTAAAATTTTCACATTGGTATTTTCCATTCATGTTCAAATCGTTCTGATATCTCTTGAACACGATTGAAATGTTGAAAGTACGCTTCGTTCTGATTGTCATATCGTGTAAGTGCAACGGTTGTTATATGTAGTAGTTTCATGATTTTATTATTGGACATTTTACATTGATTCTTAATCAGTCTCTCTCATCAGTTATTCGACAGTTATGTAAGGAGCTACGCCAGATCTTTTTCCTTTAAGTCTTACTATTTAATACATCTCATTTATACGCTTAACATTATTTCTCATGCTATACTAATCTCCATGACGATGGCGGCGATGGCGACGACGATGCTGATTTTGATTGTCCTTTATCCTTAGTATCGATCGTATACGTGTACTACTCCGTTGTATTGTCCGACAGCATCCTGCATTATTTTGTAAAGAAGAATAAAAATATCTTGACAAACGCAAAAGAAGAGAGTCCCCAATCCAATTTAATTATTTCAGATCGTTCAAGCTTTTTGTTCCAGTCAGTGAGAAAAAGTTCTGATTGAAAATGAATGAATCAGAAGATTTTGATCATATATCAATCAGAATTCTGGTAGATTTAACCAGAAAATTCTGATTGTCTATTTTCTGCCAGAATTCCAATTAATGCAATCTCTTTTAGCTTTCTATGGATCGGATTTCCAGGCTATTTCTAAGATGTCTACAGAACGTTGTAAGTGACATAGTGGAGAGGCGTCGATGGTACGTATCTGATGATGCTTGATTGCGAAGAACTTAGTGGAATCGCGTTCAGCGGTGCGATCGACAAAGGATTGACGGTGCGAATTTGTTCGGTCGTACTAGTCGTACGTTGCGACAGTTGCTTTTTCTTCGGCGTCTCTGCTTCCTTGGTCGAAATCACCGTTGCGCTCTTCAAGGCCGTTGCCGCTGGTGTGATTACATCGGAAGCGCCTGCGGAGAAGAATGGCGAGACGATCAGTTTTATTATACGTCGATTTTCTCACAAGATCTCTCATTTCTAGTTCTACCCTTTATAATTTGCTGCAATTTGCATGATTTGTTGCAAAACTAATTTACGGTATCAACAAACGAGTTTATGAACCGGTCGCAATCGCAGAGGGAGAGGAGTGACCTTAAGACGGTCTTCGGTCCCGGAAATGGGACGACCTTCGGAAGAACGGCGGAAAAAGTATAAATGAAAAAAACAATCTTGATAAAAATTGTATTTTTTAATATTTTTTTAAAAAAGTAAAAATACATAGTTATAATCTTTCTTTGCTATTAAACAAAAAAATCATTTAAAAAATTTAAATAATGAAATAATTTTAAGAAAAAGCACTATGTTGAAAAAAGTGACATAAGTAAAAAAATTAGCATTTTTGAGAGAGTAAAAATAAATCGACTCTAACGACTAATGTATTATACTAAAAAGACTGAAATCAGTGGGACTCTATAATAGAAAATTATTTAGAATGGTTGACAATTTAAACTGATTAACGATTAAATTTATTATTAGTGTTTCAATCATTTAAATTTTTACCTAATTAAGGCTATCCTAAAATAATTAAAATTGTTCCAATTCAGAATTATAAAAATGCTCTACTAAAAAGTTGCTAATTTCGAGATATGTATCTTTTCTATCAACACGACGATGTGTGTAGAATTAGTGGAGCACTATATCGAGTAGAAAGCTTCAAGTATTTAACGAAAATAGCCCATAGCGATTTAATATTTATAAGCAGAACAGAAGAGAGAGTGAACGGTAAGGTGAGTTACAATTATAATGACCTTGAGTGATCGATGACTCCAATATAACAGAAGGCTCCAGCTCGTAGTTTCCATAAGAGATCCGAAATATCGGCACCGCCTGTTGTCTCGACACCTGAGATTGCGGCACGTGCGAGTAGATTAATGGGATCGCTGGGATATTTGAGCCGTCGATAATTTCCTGCGATAATCTTCCAACGAATTCCTGATCATGTCACAAAAATGTCGATGAAACGAAAATTTTGGAGCGGAATATTATTAATATTTGGAAACATTTTCTATCTCGGGCATTCCATCCGATTTAAGAATATGTATAATAAAATTTTTACGAGGACCAAAAAGTCTATTAAAAATGTCATTTAAGGTTGTATTTTAAAAAGTGTATAATTTCTGCAAAAAGTGACTAAAATTGAAAATACGTTCCGTGTAAAAATGAATGTTACACGTGTATGTACGAAAGTTCAATAAGATCAATATTCATATTTGATAATGTAATTTGATAATTTAAATGAAAATTTTCTCATTTCATTTTAATTATTATTGAAAAACATATTTACTTCATATTGAAATAATTTTTTATCAGAGTTATAAATAGCCGCCAAACTTCTTGTTTTACTTTTGAATATACATTAAAATCTATAGTTTTATAATTTTTTCATTTTGTTAAAAAAATACGTGTAATTATCCTTAAAAGTTTATTATAATTCTTGTTTACTTATTGCTATCTTGAATTGTAATGTCAAAAGCAGAAAATATATTAAAAAATTACACAAAATACATTAAAATATAAATATTTTTCTAAACAACATTTACATTTATGATAGAATACATTTGCAAAATGTATTAAAAAACGCCTCTTATATTTCAATAATCAACAAACAAGTTTATTTTTTTAGCTGAACTTGCATTATTTATCTTTTCTCTTTTTTCTTCAATGTGATCAGATGAACCATGCAAAAAACATGCATTCAGCTAAAAAGAACAGGCCTCATATATTTAGAATTGTATTTCGAAAATGAATTAAACAGAGCTGTCAAATTGGAACAAATTTATTTTTAATAATTTCATTTTATTTCAAAATAAAAGAAGAGTTTTCGGAATATTTTACAAATGTGTTCTATCAAATAGAAATATTATTAAAATATTATTAATTAAAAAAATATTTATATTTCAATATATTTTGCAAGAATTTCTTTATGTTTTTTCTTGCTTCGAACATCACAACATAATTGCAGAGAATAAGTAGAAACCTACACATTTTGTAAGCCTATTGTCTTTGCCATTTCATGATTGACATACCTTTTGCGTACTCTTCTCGCTTGCTTTGTCAATGCCGCTTTTCGATGCAATTGCTTGCAGAGTCTCGTCGCTATCCTTCGGCTCGATATTCTTCGCGTTCTCCAACACTTTCCGCTCCCCTTCGTTCAATGCAATTTTCGTGATGGTAGCTCCCAACTGTCCTAGCTTCCTATGGAGACCTGCATCACCTTGATCTCCTACGATTTTCTTCTCGAGTGCATTCTCCTGATTCTCTTCACGATGCTGAGCCTCTTCGTCTCTCTTGAGTGCCATTTCCAAGGCCTGAAGATGCGCGGTGCGCGCAGCCATCACCTCCGGTGTGTCTTGGACCGGAAGCGGTGCCTGCGGGAGATTCGTCGCGATTACTTGAAATCCATTCTCACCATCGGCGAAATATTGCGCAGTCTGGATAACACCGGTTCCGTCGACGTAGCTGTAAGTGCCTCTGGTCGCACCATTGGACGTTCTGACCTCCGATCTGGCTGATCCTGGCGCGCTGTAGCCGAAACTGTATTGGCCCAGGCTATCTTGATAGCTTAGGAACACTGGCGGCTTAGCAAAGCCGGTGCTTATCAAACAGTAGACAATAAAAAGCTGAAAATGAGATCAACTTATGTTTCATATACTTTGCTTTGCGGTTTATGAGACCTGTCGTAGATACATGAGAAACGTTAGATGTTTAGAATTACGGATTAGCATCGCCAGATGATATTACGGTGTGATCAGCAATTTACTTTGCGAGAATAGTTTAAGTTAAATTCCCGTTGTACCAAGAGAATCATTTGTGAAATATAAGTGTTTAAGAATATTAAAAAAATAATAATTTTTAACTTAATATAATTTTATTGTATAAAATAAAAAATATAAATTTATTGTTTTTTTTCTAGACAAAGAGAATAGAATGTGTTAATAGGAAAAAATTAAACATTGATTCTTGATGATTTGCTCCGAACAATCTTTCGTAAAGATAATTTCGACACACGAAGTTAAACTCAACCAAGGATCAATTCTGGAGCAGTCAAGGACTCAGGAGTAAAGTCAATAAGTTTAACAAGGGGAGGATGAGAAGTGAAAACGCGTTTGTGAGATGCGATTTGTTATAAAAAAAAATCTTTGTATCCATCTTAAAAATTCGAACACTAGTTTTAAACATTCCTTAATCTATTTTCCAAAAATTAACAATAAATATAAAAATCTTAAAATTTTCCGAAAGATTAAGTAATATAAATATAGTTCAGATTAATACGTTTTTACCATTGTCTCCACACTAAAGCGAACAGCAGCATTGGCTAATATTTAGGCTAGGTTCGCATTAATCCGAAATATATTTATACTGCCTAAATATAGATATTAAAAAAAAATTTGTTCTGAAATATTGTAATACTTAACTCTTTTTCACTTCTCTTAGGATCTATTATTCTGCCAAGTATTCTGGTTAATTATATTTCGCATGACTGCAGAATTTTTATATTTATTGTTAATTTTTGAAGAACTAAGAGGTGCTTGAAGTTAAGATTTGAAATTAATATTTGAAGTTAAGATTTGAGATGTTTAATATAAACGTAACCTTTTGCAACAAACCGTATTTTAAAAGCGTGTTTTCACTTCTGGCTTTCCCCCGGTAAGTCGGTATTCATAATCGATAGACTGAGAAAAATTTATGTGATTAAAAGTAAACAAACCAGAAGATTCTAATTACAACAATTTCTAATTCTAATTATCTATCTCAAGAATTCTAGAATTATAATAGATTCTAGAAAATTCTAATTTATTTTTAATCAGAATTCCGATTAATGCAGCCTGATCCTTTTTCTAGTATAGTTCTTACATTTAAGACTGTCTTCAGAATAGTCTTAAGATATCATAAACCAATCACAGAGCCGTATTAGCATCTTAAGACATTACTTAAGACAATCTTGAAATAAGAATGGACTATGAATATCGCGCCCTTAGAATCGCGATTCTCCCACGCAAGGAATCGGACGAGCACTTACGAATACGTTTTTCATGATGATCGTATCGACAGTATCGCGGTATATGCCTCGATGCCAGGACACGTTTATATACGCACGCGGTCGCATGCAACCACGCCCTGTGGCGTCTTAATGCTGCCCTCCTGCGTCCTCTTCCTCTTCTCACAAAGCCGCGACGAAATTCACGAAATCGTTATCGTGGACCACCATGGCGAGAACTGGTCACGCGAGTGGTTCCTTCGAGGTCGCGATCTTCGGAATCCGGCTTCGCGGATGCTTACTTTCCATCCGAAAGAGCGCCAGACGATGCCTTTTTTCCAGCTGGGATCCGCCCGGCTATGCCCTAATACGTCGATCTTCAGGGTCGCGTATAACATCGCGCGAGTGTTATTGCATAGGGGGTTGTTGAGCCGGGATCTCGAGGAGAATACCACGGATTATTGCTAATTTATCGTTCGATTACCTGGATCGTGTATCCAACGAAACGTCTCTTGATGGCGAGGACATCTCGCTAATGCCGATTGATCGTTCCCAGGGGTGCAAAATTTTTCTACTTCACGCGAGGATCTTTCATGCGAAATCTTATAGAGACCAATAAAATATGGAAAATTTTGTTGTCATCTTACATTTGCGTTGTATCGAAAGAAGTATTGAATAGCTTAGCGTGTAAAATATGAGCGGATTAAATAAAATATCATATTCATGTAAGATAACAAATTTATTCCTTTACGATATATTGGCTTTACGTGGTATATATGTGTATATATTATTTATTTTTATATATTTAATACAGAATACACAGATATAAGTTTGGAGTGATAATAATAATTGTCACGCAAAACAGATGATTATATATTATTCTATTACTATCCTATCAATTTTTTTTTCATTTTTTATTAGAAAGAATTTCTTAATTCATAGTTTCCAACAGATCTATAGTATATGGAAGAGTATATGGAAAGAGTTTTTTTTTAATTTAGCTAAACACAAATCTAAAAATAATTTTATTGAATTATTAAAATAATTGTGTAGAGGCATATTTCAATAGTACTATCTATATTTACTTAATGTAAAAATATATTTAATGGTACAAAAATATTAATTTGATTTAACTATATTTATTTCCTTTATTAAGTAAATATTTATTGTGTAATTAGTTAGTACTATTGAAATAAATATTTATTAAAATTATATTTTTTCTCGATATATATATAAAACATTTTATTAACTATTTTGAAAATCTATAATTATTTTAATGATCCAACAAAATTATTTTCAGATCTGTATCTATATAGCTAAATTTTTAGAATACTTCAACAAAACTGTTCTTTCCGTAGTCTACTATTATTATCCGAAATTCCGTGATTATTCCATACAAAGTTATGCATAAATACACTGAAAAAAAAGCGATATATGTAAATGCAAATGTTATTTGTGACATTTTCTTCGAATATCTATTAGTTGTAACAAAATTGGATTGTGATGGCAAAATATATGTCATTGTCCGTATTAATTGTAAACAAATAAAATAGATAAAGTTTATTTTCTAGGAATAAAATTTTATTTCGCCTTAATTGAATAAGGATTTATTTCAGTAAAATAAACAATAAACATTATATCCTACTAATAAATTTTGAAGTATCTTTTTCTCAGTGTAAGCTGTATTTCCTTTAAGCAGCAAAACCTTCCTCAATAAACTAATCTGCCGTAAGCAAGCGCTCTTCCAGCGATCGCCAAAGCATCGACAGATTTCACGTCGTTCGCCAAATTCTGATCTCCACGCGCAGCCACTTCCGGTACGTCCAATGGCTTGCCATTGGGACTGATGGGTACCAGAGTAGCAATGACGTTGTTGCCAAGCACCAATGGCACTACACGACCGTTCACGGCATTTGGGAGAGCATCGCTGGATCTCGCAACCTCGTTCATCGGAGAGATCTTCCCGTTGGCACGCGCGGTCGCGACTTCCGGTGCATTCAGAATCCTGCTGTCGGCGACGTCAGACGAATCCACCAGTGCACCACCGTTGGACCTCGCAATCTCGTTCGCCAGGTTGATTCTCTCGTGGACATGCGCTGCCGCATGAGCCACCTTCGCAGCTGCGACTTCCGGCGTATCCACGACTCTGCCGTCGGTGCCAAGAGGTGCGGAAGACGTTATCGGTGGCGCATTATCACGAAAAAGCGATTGTCGTTCTCGTAAGGATCCAACGGCTGAACTGGCAATCCCATTCGCCAACTCTGTCCTCTCGTTAATGTGCGCGGTTTCCGGTCCGTCCAATGCTCCGCTGTTGATACCAACTTGTATATCAGATGTCAGGGCAGTCAGGGGTGTCGCGTATGTCAAGGGTACAGACAAAAAAGTGGGTTTGGCTGAGACCAGGCTGGTCAAACCGAGTAGTACGATCGCGAATAGTATCATCTCTCGTTTTACTCAGTTACGTTGAAATGGTGATCCCACGCAATCGTAAACGACGAATAGAGTAACGTCGCGAAATGCACTCGATGACTCGTACTGGCGCAATTGTCGGGTCGCCTTTATAGTCCTCCTAGATCATGTAATAGGACAATCGCGTAGGAGGACGCAAAGGGAGAGATCTCGATTTGAAAAGCTGCATGCGGTCAACTGCTTCCGTTTCGATCGGTAAGATAAGCTTGTTTGTAAAGCGAGAGTTTACGTTGGATAAGAAGAGATGAGGGACGCAATGGTGAACGACGAGATGAAACGGAGAGGGATTTTCTTTCCGTTTCTTTCTTACGAGGTCACGAAGACATCCGATCCCGTTTCCATTTCTCCGCCAGATCGACCGTGATCTAGAAGGTCGCGCCTGCGACGATGGCTGACGTCGATCGCGTAATCAGATTCTAGAACGGGCTTATTGTCGTTTCTGCTCGATTAGGTAAGAATGCCTGCCTACCTGCTTGATCCTTATTTATTTCAACAAAAACAGATTTGTTGATCCACATTCATTCTGCGATCTATCTTTTAATATCTTTTAATTAATACAGTGATTATAGATTTTGATAGAGAGAGAGAGAGAGAGAGAGAGAGAGAGAGAGAGAGAGACCCATTATATCTTTAAATATGTATTTCTTAAAATCTGAAAGTCTTAGGAAGAAGGAAAAAACAGATTTATTATTCGACTCCCGGCCGAGGCAATATTTTTCTCAATAAGTTTATTACAGTTTTTTAAAATTAATTTGGGAAATTTGGGGGGATTATTAATATTTCAGATTGATTGCATTGAAAGTCCGACAACCATATCGACATGTAATTATCATTTCTGAAATTAATTCATTTATATGAATATATATATTAGTTCAATATCTCAACACTCAGACCGTAGTAGCGTATTTTTAAAGTAATTTATTATTATTTAGTTAAATACTCTTAATATGACAAAGAAAAGAAATGCGCAAGATATGAATATTGTATACTAAAAGTTACATAATTTTTACAAATATACTTTAACATTTTTAGAAAATATTTGTAAAATTGCGTATTAAAAAAGAAAGATAAGAATGAAGACTATTATTTTGCGAAGAGTTCCTAGTGTTTTAAAGAAAAGAAACGCGTAGGAAACGAATGACTCTTTGTGTGTACTAAAGATTAAGAACTGAAATTAAAATAAGAATATTAATTCCATTTTTAAAAAACTAAAAAAATTTGTCTTACAACAAAATTAATTTAATTAATTTAATTAATTACATAATTATATAAAACTGTCATAATGTATAAAATCAAAATGAAAAATTTTTCCTTTATCAAAACAATACGCGGCTCTCCTGAAGAAGGATTAAATATCTGCGTCAGCAATTAATAATTAAATCCAATAATAATATCCGTTTCTACTAATATATAGAATAACTTTAATCTCGGTTTAACTTTCCTTCTTTAATTCTTAGAATTTGAAAAACATGAGTTAGTTAAACTACGATTAAAATTAAACTAGGTTGGTAGAAACATAAAACGGAAGAAAAATCAGCTGTGATGTGACGATAAAAAGAAGGCGAACGCTACGAATCGCTCGATCGATCGTTTTTTAAATTTTAATTAATCGAGTCGGTAGGGGAACCAATTTACGGGCGGGAGGATCGACAAAGCCGATACGACTCGTAATTATGTGAACGGGAGTGAATATGGGCATCAATGTCAAATACATGACGGCTTTTATTGGACACTGATGTTTATGTTGTGATGGCATACATCCTGGTAGTGGTGCCTGGTTCGGCACAAAGCCTCTTTTACCACGGGGTATATAAAGCCGCGTGTACGGGGTAGTGTACGACACATTAGCTGAGTACCTTGGCGAGTACTGATCTTGATCGGCAGCGCTAAGGAGCTGAATAATTTCATTCAATATGAAGGTTTTGGTGAGTATCAATAAAAACTTTTGTAAGGAATATCGTACTCAGGTTACTGTGATTTTATTATTATTTTTTATTATTTTACATTATAGGTTTTTTGTTATTATTATTCTTATTATTATTATACATTGTCAATCGCGATAAACGATAGAAACTGATTGACTTACGAATTGCATTTCTCTCCATTTTTATTATATAAATGGCACTTTTCTCACTTAGTGGATTCATTCATATGACGGTTTTGTTTCTAACTTATTGTTTTTTAATATAAATTCTATATTTCTTGCTTGTCAGGAATCATGATAATTATATGACAGTTTTTTTAACTTCTATAAAAATAACAATTACAAGTAAAATAAAGATAACAATTAAGAGTAAATTACAGATTTCTTTAATTAATGCAATGAAAAAAATTATTTCTTTGGATCAATAAAAATTTCTTTGAAAATACAATATCTTATTTTCAAAGAAATTTTCATTAATCCAAAGAAATAATTTTTTTGAATACGAGTAAAGAGATATTTCTTTGAAATTAAGATTTTTTTATTGTGTATTTATTATTGTATTAGTTAAAGGAATCTTTAATTTATTCGTAATTGTTATCTTTATTTTACTTGTAATTGCTCTAGTCATCGTATCTTTATTAGATTGTAATTGCTCTAATTATCGTATCTTTATTATTCTCAACATAGAATCTGGCGTAGATTCCTTACGCTCAGCTTAATGTCTCATTTATATTTATCATTTTATAAAAATGTATTCATGTTATTACTGTTACATTTGAAGTACAATCTAATGCAATTTAATAAAAGAGCATAAGCTAAAATTAATCAAATTAATGTATAAACAATTTCTGAATTTCATTAAACCTTCGAATTTAACACAATGGATATCAATTATAAATCTCTTGTCAAATCAATTATAAATTTCTTTATCAAAAATATCAAACAATTTAATTTTTTTTATATTACATTTATATAAATGTATTACTCTTAAAATATACTATTCATTCTTTTTTTATTATTTAGGTTTCTTGAATTAATGCCTAATTAACAATTGACTAATTAACAATTAACAAATTAAATAAATAGAGCTTACAGCACCATTAAGTGTGTATAAATATTTCAGTTGCGGAGAGGGTTAAATAAATATTTATCTAAAAAATACATTATATACAACACAATTTTTTTCCAGATTGTTCTATCCGCCATCTTGGCTTGCGCCTTCGCTACTTCGCCACTGATTTACGCTAAATTGGTGCCCGGTGCTCCAATCGGCCTGGATGGCCGAGTGACCGACACTGCGGAAGTTGCGTTGGCCAAGGCTGAACACGCAGCCGCTCATATCAACGAGAAGATTAATTTGGCTGCGGAAGCTGCCAGATCAGCCGACGTGCTCGCTTATGTAGCTCCGTCCAACGTAGCCGTGGTCGACAGCAGCGTGCAGCTGGTGCAACCGGTTGCGGTGACGGCGAAACTGGCCTCTGGTGCGCCGATCGGGCTCGACGGCCGTGTCGTCGATACGCCGGAAGTAGCCCTCGCCAAGGCAGAACATGCAGCGGCGCACATCAACCACTTCAACGAGAAGCTTGGCTACGAAGCTACGAAATCGATTTACCATGAGCAACCGGCCGTCATTGTGGATCGTAGCGCACCATTCTTTCGTTACTACTTTCGTTAAATCAAGTTTGCTGACACATACAGGCTCATATATATAAAATGTAAATAAATTCCCCTTGCGTGCTTTAATCCACTGGCTGATTTATTTTGATTACCTTCCTGTTATAAATTAAGATCAGTAGTTTTGCAAAAACAGTTTTCTCGTAGGATAATTGCAAATTTCGATATTGTTAATATCATTAATTTCTTAATTTCTTTTTTATATTCTTACAAACTTAATATTATCAATTATGGAGAGAACATATTTTTTAATTTTGAGTTTCAAATTTGAGTTTGAGATTTGAAAGAATTGTGTAGAAATTTCATTCGCCTGTTAGAATGCAATACAGCTAGCGATAAGTACAATGTGAATGCGTTCTAACAGGCGCGCCTAATACAAAGAGATTGACAAAAGAATAATAAATATGTATTGTGTTACAAATATTTTTATGGCAATGTTTTCAATGATTTAAGATTTAGAAAAAATATTATTTCAATATTTAGAATAATAATTAATTGTAAACTTGTATAATTTTTATTCTTTAGAAACAATGACTATAGATTGTCGCAGTATACAAGAAATATTTTTAATAAATAAATTCAGTTTTATCATTACAATCATTTGCATTTCACAGATGCACTGTTTTAATATAAATAAAAACTTTTTTAAAAGCATCTCTTCTATTAATCCGTTTTATATTTAATAATATACTATCAAATAAAATTTATATTTAATAATATACTATTTATAAAACGAATTAATAGGAGAGATGCTTTTAAAAGGATTTTTATTTATTCTGTGAAAATAAACATAAATATAACATAATCTTTTCATTTATTGAAAACTAAATAATGATAAAAAGAAACACTGTTAAAATTTAAAGAAATTGTGTTTCAGGCTTTATTCTAATAATAATGAAATGTGTCACGACACGTAAATCGTTCATTTTATTGATAAAATAGCAATTCCATCGAAATTCAATTTTCACTTTAGGATCCCTTTAATATTGGCTAATTTTAAACTAAAAATTATTTATTTATAATATAAAAATCACTCTTGCTAAATGCTTTCAATACTTAAAATTGATAATTAATTAATAATTTCCATATTAAATTTCTGTTAAGGGTAAGTACAAAGCATCCTCAATTTTGCATTTAGCTAGGTAATAAAAGTTAAAAGAGAACAATAAAATATCAAAATTGTTATAAAATGAATATAATTTTTTCAATAAAACTGTTTTAATTTTTAAAACTTTTTAGATTTAAAATATATATAAGCTTTTTAAATATATTTTTTATTAGATATAGATGATATCAATTTGTGAGAGTATTTTGTATTTATGGTCAACAAATGCGTCTTGTAATTCTGTATGTTACTGTAAAAATATGTAATTCTGCCGATAATGCAATAATCGAGACTACGAGGACAATAAGAGACTTGTTGCGTACGATTTTCGGTCGCTTCTCGCACAGTTGATTTTTTAGGTCATCAGAGGTTTTAGGCGCTAAGTGGTCTAACGTAACGTCGCCGGCAGGAGGCCAACGTCGGTTTGCAATCGGTGGGTTTTGTCGCGAGCGCATAGTTGGAAAAAGGAGCAAGAACCACCGCCCGCTTTCTCGTATTACATTAGTTACTTTACACATACGCGATTACCGTGACGTTTCGCGATACTCTTTTGCCATTTTACGGAACAAAAATGTTCGTATACCTCAGCTCGGCTTGCTGTCGAGTCTGTTCAGTTTGGAATGCGTCTCACGGGACAGGGCAGAGGTGTTGACATTGAACGCGGTAAACGGTCGCTTACTGTCGCTTTCGTATCGTATCAACATGCAGCGCTTGGTGAGCGAACGGCTCAGGGGTGGTCGATAGATCACTCATCGATCCGATCGAACGAATAGCGATGAAGATGGATAAGATGTGATAGTAGAGCAACGGCGAGGAAAGGCGCGGTCACGTACAATGATAGTAACGCGTCACTTTGCTTGCTGCGTTTGTCTACTTGCAGCGTGGGCTGGTCAAAGGTGTTCACGTAGCGATAGTGTCAAAGATATTCACACGACATGTGCGTGAGCATCGTATCCGTTTAACATATATTCATTTAAAAAATATGTATTAAATTTTAATAAAATTTTTTTAATGTAGTACCAATTAATATTTACTAAGTATGAAGATATATTTATATTTGGTACAAGAACCATTAATTTGATCTATCATTTTTTAATAAGTAAATGTGTACTGTAGGTAAATATTTAATAGATATTATTCAAATATATATATATATTAAAATTTAATACATTTTTTCTTAGTGTCAATATTTATACGAAAGTATTTTTTAGCAAAATGTGCAAAAATTAGATCAATATGTTAAACTAGATAATCCAGGAGTATTCCAGGAGGATTTTTTTGCGTAAATGGCCATCTAGGATGTTTTATTCAATCACTATTATTATTAACATATTGTACATTATTGATCGTTTTCCGATTTATTAGTACTTGAGAAAATTTTCTCAAATGGATATGAATTCAATCACAACTTTTTGAAAAAAAATGTACTGTAGATATTAAAGGTGTAATGACAATTTAATCCCTTGAGTTGTTATATGTAATATTTTGTTATTTTTAACTTCCATACGTCAAAATGTAAATCAATTCATTTTTATAGTTTCTTTAAAATAAACAACGTATACATTTCATATTAATGTATACATTTAATAAATAAGCTAAGTTTGAATCAAATTTAATACATTTCCTTGAATTAAATTGTTTAACTCTATTGTTTTAGTTAATTCAATATATTTACAATATATTGAGTAGGAACAGTGGTGACTTATGAAATGATTAAAAATAATTGAGTATAATTTGATATTATGAACTTAATAGTGTAAGAACTAAACAAATATTAAAATGTTATTTAAGTTCTTCTTAAATTATTCTATTTTATATTATTACGACTTAAAATCTCTTAAATTAATTTAATAAATTATTAATTTAATAAAGCCCACTTTAATAATCGTGCTATTTTCATCTTAGATAGAAAGAACGACTTTTTACTAAAGTTTAATTTAAACATTTATATAGATACAGATTGGAAAATGATTGTGTTGGACCATCGGAACAATTATATTGGATGATCAAACTGGTTACTAGAATATGAAAATCTTTTGCAGCATTACCGTCATGTACATAATTATTTCCAACTCTGCATCTAGTTAAACTTTTAAATATTATAACAAAACCGTTTTTTGTATAATGCCAAATTAAAAACTATGATTGAATACAAACTAATGTAATTGTAATCATTTTTAAATTAATTGTAATGCTTTGCAGTCTTTATGCGTGATAAATATGTTTGAAGAAATTAATTTTTGATCACGGTAGGGCGTGACTTTTAAGTAAATTTACGGCATGGATCGCAAAAGTCCATATACATCATAACGAGCATTGCGAGCAATGTGCTTTGTATTATATGAGAATGTATTCTTAATACAGTTCGTCCTTCGACTTCGAGTCCTTCGTTTGCTCAGGGCTGGTGAGTTGTTTAGCGCAAATACGCCTTTGTTGTTTTTCAGCGCCGAGATCCCTTCTATCAGTGACATATGATTTAACCAGGATCACGAGGGAGTAAAAATACAAGCTCTTTTTGTTTAATAAAAGAATGCCGGATCGACTTACGCATGACTTGGTGACAGGCAATTAATAACTCGCTACTAATTGCTGGAAAATTCTATGAAAAGAAATAAATATTGTAAAAAAACGTTTGGTGTAATTAAAATATCTTTCAGTTTTATGTAATTCAGCAAGCAAAAATCCTTTCTGCAACAATCGATGATAATTTTAAGTCTGTGAACTAAGGACTGTGATCAAACTTCGATTAATTTAATCAATAATTAACTTAACTTAATTTAACTAAGAGAATCGGGACAGGATCTTTAATATAAACTCTCTAAAACTTTTAGAGCGAATTGTCTGAAAAATGAAATCTCACTCTAAAGCGCAGTTTCACAATTCACAATTAACTCTTAATCGTGGTTCAATTTATTCTTCATCTATTCTTCCAATTCTAGAATTGAAAAGAGATGAAAAATAAGTTGAACTTCGGTTAAGAATTAATCATGAGTTGTGAAACAGGGCTTTAAAGATTGAAAATTAAGTCATTCCTTTTTAAGACTTACTTACAATTATCACTCCTTACAGTGAGATTCCACTCTAAAGAATTTGAAGAATATAATTTATTGTTTTCAATACATTTTTTTTATGCATTAAACATAATGGATTAATTTAATATTTTTATTCATATTATTCAATAGTGCTGTTTAAGTTAATCGGAGTTTAGTTGAAATCGCTCGTTTCTACCAACGTAAATTAACTTTAATCTTAGTTCAACTTACTCTTCATCTTTTTTTAATTAGAACTAGAAAAAGATGAAAAGTTTGTTGAACCGAGATTAAAATTAAACCACATTAGTAGAAACGGGCAGAGAGTCATTTCATCCACTCCGAACTTTAATCCACGATTAGATTTCTTTGTTTGGAATTGATTAATCGCATTTGCCATTTTACTTTACAACAGATGTGAATGGTAAATTTTAATGGATCAAATCGTCGATTAAAATTAATCGGAGTTGATCGAACTAATTCTAAGATGCAATTGAGTACATCAATAGTATATATAGCTTCCCGATATGCTTCCGGTCAATGAAGTGCAGAAATCGCATTTAAATTTCAAGGTCGCAATTGGCGAAAGATAAACAGCGAAAGAAAGAGAGAAAGAGAGAAAGAGAAGAGAATAGCCTTCCCTTTTCCGATCTTTCCGACAAACTTCCCGGACCATCGGGTTATAGCCGATCACCTCTGGCTTCCCCCAGGTCGCTGGCGATCGACTGCACGTGGAAGGGGACAAACGAATGCGACTATAAATGGTAGCAACCAGCCGTTCTCCAGGAACACAAAACAGCGAACCGACGCCTGGCCCGGGTCCCTCACTCCTGGGAGCGAATACTGACAGACAACAGCAGCGCTCTTTTTATTAGGAAGAAGGTGTGTGGGAGTTCAACGAAGGATACAACGCCCCTGGATCGTCATGAGAGGCCTGGTGAGTGATCCCGGGACAAAGAAAAGTGAAAGGTTGGGGTAGGTCGAAAGAATCCGCCCAGCAAAATGCCGATCGAGATCGCGCAACAAGATGACCTGATAAGCGGTGGATCAAGTATCGATTATTGTATTGGTAATTCGTCACGATTAAAGGGGTCCATCGTTTCTATCAAATTTTTCCCAGAAGACAATTAACCCTTCAATATTCTTATGGCTTTTTTAACGTAATTACTCGCGTGGGCTGTTTTTGACATCCCAATGTTGTATACCAATCTTCATTTTTCTCTTTGATAATTTACAATTTAAATAAACAATTTAAATAAAAATTGATATTAAGATTAATAAAAAAATACATTTTCATTTAGCAAATTTATGCAGTCGAAATGTTTTGGACACTCCACACGAATAAAGAGAATTAAAAGTCACCTGCGAAGTATTACATTAAAGAAAAAGCAAAATTAAAAGCGAAATAATGCTTTTTGAAAACATAGAATAAAATATAAAAAAATATAATAAATCAAACAAGTAAAGAAAAAAATATGATCAAGACTAGATCTTGATGCTAATAATTTATAAGTACATAAATTTTAAATATATATTTTCCAGTTATATAAACTGTGCATTGACTATTATTATTGACCGAATTATAAATTGAAGTTGAAATAACAATATCACAAATTAAATCAATCAAATTTAATTTAGTCAATAAATTTGATTAATTAATTAATTAAATCGAATTTAATTAGTTTAATAACGATGCTAATAAGCATTTTAAAATACTATATTTAGAAAAATGCAATATTTTTTCGTAAATATATATTTTTCAAATTAGGATCTAATTGCTCCAATTCGTTTTTTGTTTTTAGATTTTCCTGCTCGCCACGGCGGTGACTTGTAGAGCCGCATACGTCAGTTCATCCCCATATGGGAATCCTCTGGTTCACCAACAAGTTGCACCGAACTTCGCGCCGCCCGCTCCGGTTGGCGAAGACGGCAACGTCATCGACACGCCGGAAGTAGCGCAGGCGAAGGCCGCGCATTTTGCTGAATTCGCGAGGGCCGCCGCCCGCGCAGTTCAAGATGAGAAGAACCAGCAAGGCTTGTCCGATTATCAACCGCAGATCTCATCACCCGCATATAGTTACTCAGCTGCTCAGCCAACTGGAGTGCCTTATCTGAAACAAGCCAGCTACCAGCAACCCACTCCGATCTATCAGACTGCCAACCATGTACCGGCGCCCATCTACGTGAATTATCAGCAACCTCAACAATACGACGCACGGGCTAACTTTGTAGGTCAGAAGAGTTACACGCTCCCAGCAAAGCCCACCACTTTCGTACCGGCGCCGTTGGCCGAGGACGGAACGGTCTTAGACACGCCGGAAGTGGCGGCCCTAAAGGCAACCAGATTGGCCGAACTCGCCGAAGCAGAGGCTCGGGCTTACAAACACGCGAGCGAGAATCCGAGTGAGCACCAGGGTCAAGGTGAGCGAAGCAGGACTGGGAAAGACCGATGAACTGTCGCGTGGGCCGCGGCGTAAATCGTTGACGCAAGGCGTGAATAGGAAACGTGTTTTGAGGTCTGCTCGCGGAAATATAACATTAAATACAAGATGTAAAAGTTTGATTGATTGTCGAGAAAATTGCAGAAAAAATGGATGAAGAGTTTAGAGATTTTTGAAGATTTTCAGCATAAACGTAAAAATATGACATTTTTGTATCTATAAGATAAAAATAAGTTAATGTGGAAAAAAATCTGAATAGAATATATTAAAAGATATTTTTATTCTACAAAAGAAATAAATTATCTTTTTATATTTAAGATAAAAAATAAACTGATGAAAAAGTATGAATAGAGCATTAAACAATATTTTAATTTTATAAGAAATGAATTACTTTTATATCCTTAAGATAAGAAGTAAATTAATAGAAAAAATATGAGAATAGAACATTTTTATTTTACAAGAAATTATTCTAAGTATTAAGTTTGTTGTATTCTTTATCCCTCCCTGAGTTATTCTAATAAGTAACTGTGCTAGTATATACGTGTTCATTTTATTCTTTGAAATCTATCGGTTTTCTTAAACGGTGTTTTCTATTATTATTTTAGCTTATGGATCTCCATCCGGTCCCGCTCCCGCCAATCTAGGACACTATGGCGCTTCGCGAGCATTCCCAGCATCTTCATACCCGGGAACTCAGTCTTACGCCACGCAACAAGTGTACAATCCGTCAGGTTTTCAGCCTCGTCATTATCAGTCCCAGCATCTGATAGGAAATTTCTAAACCTAGCGGATCACGGTCGATCAACATGTTCCGGTGCCTGTACATATTCTAGATGAATAAATTGTTTTCCTATCTTTACGAATTTATCATGTTTCTCGCGACGCAGGTCACTCGCTTGTACATCTCTCTTTTTTAAATATTTGTGATACATAAAGACTGCTGGAAAAAAGACTTAAATAGAAGGAATGGACGAATTTCGTTCTCTCCATCCTAATTCCTATCTTTTTTTCTTCTCCTCTTTATTTACGACGATTTATTACACAATAACTTCCTGATTAAATTAAACTAAATTTTATATCTATTCGTATATATAAATTAAAAATGAGAGGTACAAGTTGATTATTCTTATTGTGAATTAATGAGCGTATTGTGTGTAAAATATTTTACAGTTTACATGATTACAAAATAATATAATAGTACAATATAATGATTAGTATTTCTAATTCGTCATCGTATAATCTCAAATAGGCAATTAAATTTTAATAAAGTTCTATTTATGTGCTGGCCTACTTCTCGATCTTGCGTTGCGTCTAACGTAATTTAAGTAAGGCTGAAACGTTTCTTTACCACTATTAATTAAGATTCGTCGAACACATGCAATTTAATTAACTTTTGCGAATTAGAAACTCGTACTGACTTCTTTTTATATATTCTGTATTAATCCATAGCATTAAATTTATATTAAGATAGATAATTAATTAATATTTTTTGTCATTTTTTAAGGCGCGCAAAGAAAAGAATTCGCGAAAGATCGCGACGTGCGATATCTCGTAGAAGAAAAGAGAGCGATTGGGTTGTTGTGGGACGTTGATTAGGAAAGTTTTGCGTTTTGCGGTGCGCGGGACGGTATCGTAACGATCGTCTTGCGGCGAATGCAGCACACAATTTTACGTAAGCAAAATCGCGACACCTGTCGAATAAAAAGAGGTGCATTGTTCCATGAGCTAATCGGCATCGTGCCTTGCGTGGTGCACACATAGATACCAATTTACTGAAAAAATATATATATATATATTATTACTTTTTATGCGTTTTACATATTTCTCAGGAAATGCATAATGTGAAATTTATGACATTCTAATGGCAATTTAATTCTGAGAACGATGAAATATCATGTAAATCCTATTGAAACGTATAGTCACATCGCGTTACGGTTGTGAATGTTGCCACATAGGTCATCGGTGTACGAAAGACGTGAGAAGAAATGAGCAAGGGAGCGGAATAATAGCTTCGTTCCTCGAGAACGAAGCCGAGCACATCGTGATTCCGAATACCTCGCCGCAGAAAGGTCAGGAATCGTAACTTTGTAACTGATGCAGAATATGCAAGAAGAATGGAATTGATCGCAAAACGAAGCTCGAGAATCAACAAAAATCGAAATGGATGCAGTGCCATTTCAGTACTTTCGCATAGGGGTGAGTGGGATAGTGGCGTTTACTTAAGAAATTTTATTAGTAAAAAATTTTTATTTTAAATTAATTTTTCATCGAAATCTTTTTATTCTCTAAATTCTTTGGAACAAAATTTTATTTTAAAAAATAAAAATTAAACCAATCTTGAAAAAGGATGATTTAATTTTCAATCTTTAAGAATGAGATTTCATTCCTTAGAGTAACAATTCACTTTAAAAGAGATTATATGTATAATGATATATTATTTTAGATAAAGTTAATATAAAATAATATTATATGTTAATAAAAAGTAATATACATATATTATTGTTCTTTTAGAATTTTCATACTTTTAGTCGATTTAACCCGTTAAGCTCCTATATGTGTGGTTTAATTTTTCGTGAAAAAGATACTATATTTCATGTTTAAATGTGTAAATTTATTTTTGTATGCAGTTTAATATGTTACAATATTTCAAGACATTTATTACGCACTTGGATTTGCAGTGTATTTGCCAAATATGAGGTCAGTTACACCATCGGCTCAAGTTGACGAATTTACGTCGTCAGAAACGATTTATCGTCAAGGCGCTTCATCTCGAGGGAGAAAAAAACTGAATTTATTCGCAACAGAGCATGCAACCTCGCTGCCCACTCCCTACTTACCCTGCGCAATTTGAACTGACCTCGATATAAAGATACAAGATCGGATGGTACGCCTACCTGAGAAGAGCTAAAAATTCTGTGGGCGCGCGGAGATCAACGGATGCTGCGTGGAATATCGCAGCCACGTCCGCGACCGTAGTCTTAACTCATTACGTGTACGTCGCGGAGATTACGTATTATGAGACCCCGTTTTGCGTAGATTGCGCAACAATCAGCAAGCTAGTCGATCGAGTTCTTCCGTCTCACATTACGATGTGAATCGGCGTCGATTATAATGGGGACAAGATCAAATAATCTTCTCGTTCTGCTCTGATGACCTCAAAACTGAATAAATCTATCCAGTATCGCATTTTATCGCAAACAGAAAAACAAAAATTGCAAAAACAATGACATAATTTATAATATATTTTTAATACATCAAATGCGATAAACTTAAGTTGACGATTTTTAAGAAATTAGCTGATATTTGTTAATACACCAAAACTGTACGTAAATACAATAAAATATTCATTAATTAAGAAAAAATAATGAAAATTAATCCAATAAATTCTCATAATAATGATTTAGGTTATAAAATTATTGCTAAAATTCATTGCTAGAATGAATATATAGTTATATAAATGAATCCAGTTATTCAATGAATTAACTACATTAAGTCGGACATTGATGAATGATTATTTATATTGGATCAAAAATTTTTTTCAGTGCAAGATTAAGTAATCTTCTTCCTCATGCTACTCCACAATTTTGCGACTACAAAGAAATGTAAGCGGATGTATTGTTATTATGGAGCCAAAAATTGCTTGCTTTATACGACCGAAACAAAGAAATTAATAAACGCGTCTATTCAAAATTTTTAAAGTAACTCTGTAAAAGATCAATCTTGTATAAAATTATAATAGATTGATATTCGTGGCGTCATTTCTGTGTCAGGCCGAGAACTTTTCGAATTATCCTCATACATATCAAAAGAAATTGCGAAATAATGGAATATTTACTGAATACGACGGATTTAATTTAAGCTCACCATTTTAAAGAAATAAAAAAACTTGTGATATTTGTTAACAAAATTAAATAATTTTCTTTCTCGTGCTATTTTGCTGATCTCAAATGAAACTAATTTATTTCATACCACATTATCGCCGAAAGATATAAGATCTTTTTTGAACAGTGAAGCATAAAGAAGCACATTTACATTAAATACAAGAAATAATTTAAGTCGACCGGTTTAAAGAAACTGACAAATATTTGTTAATAAAATTATTCAATCCCTTAAAAGGAATCTATACCTTGAGATTTTTTTTGTTCTTTCAATGATCCGTTGCCAATTTTTGAAGCAATAGACGCCAAAAAGAGGACTACCTTGAAGGGATTGTCGAGTAATCCATGACCGGTTGTCCGCGAATCGGGCGTGTTTTGCAAGAAAATTTCATTCGAATACACATTATGTTGACGTTACGGATCGTTGCATAGAAAACATCGTGCAGAATGATTGAAAGCAACGAACATCTTGACATTAAAGATTCTGATTAACTAATAGATCTTTGAATGTTTGATTGCAGGAAATGAAAATTCGATTGCGAGAAGAAACGACGAGAAAACCGGTTTCTATAATTACGAGATAACGTAAGACAGTTATCCTGCGAGATCCTAGACGGCCCGTATCATTAGTAAGCAGATAACGATCTATGCTGTCGCGTACACTCTCGCAAAAGTAGATCTGACTAACGGTGAATGTGATAATATCGAAATAAATATTGTACACAAACAGCCGTGAATGAATGTAACAGAATATTTTCATTCAAAGAAGAAGACCAGAATTAAAACATTTGCAACGCAGGTGTTATTATGTATTTATACATAATAATTTGTATACTGAGAGCAAAAATGATTGCACTTACCAATTTAACTATAATTCAGTTTTCGGTACCAAGTATTTATTCTTTTAGAATTATAATATAATTATTATTGCTAATAGTATGGAGTGATAATTACATATAAAAATGAAATTCATAAGTACTTTATCATGCAATTACAGTTACAAATATCAAGCATCTTTCTCTCAGCATATAAATTCTTAGGAAGGAATTATTTAGATCTCTAGATTATATAAATTTAAAAAATTAAATCTTTTAAACATTCAAATCGAGTGGATGTTGATTGGACCATGTGCAGAAGGACAGAATAATTATTACGGAATAGTCTCTTTATGTCACTGCTGTTCCATATGAATATATATTTTTTCTAACATATACATCGGAAGTACGGATATTTGTGCGCGATAAATAGGAGATGCATGAAACGTGACGCTGCAAAATCACCGCAGGCGAAAAGATTATCGGGAGTTGCGATCGAAGGATCAGCGAGAGAGAACCATTTGTTTCGGAGAGGTAGTTAGTAATATCTTAGTGAATCTTATATAGTCTTCCAATTCTTGAGGTAGCTGCACGAAAAGAACAGTTTTGCTGACGTATCTAAAAATTTAGCTTACAGATAGGAATCCCAAAATAATTTTGTCCGACTATTAAAATAATAAAATGTTCAAATTGCCCAAACAGCACAGAAGTTTGCAACAAGTGTTGTAACGTTTGCAATGTTATTGGATGTTGCTGCAACATTATTAAAATGATCTGTACTGTATGAATGGTAGCTGGAAGTTAAAATTTTTTCCAACATTGTTCATCATGTGAACATTTTACATTTTTTAATTATTTTGATAGTCCAACAAAATTATTTTCAAATTTCTATCTATATTTTTAGATACGCCGGTAAAACCGTTTTTTTCGTGTGGGAAGGATATCGAGGATCATTGGTGGATTCAACACAACCAATCGTGTTATCGATTTCATGGGATCGTCGACGTCCATTGAACGAGCGGAAATGCATTTCGCTCTGATCATTTTTTCTTGTAGTCGAATTAATAGTAGCTGCTGGCCGGGCTGTCCCAAGCAGGATTGTAGACACCATTGTTCCAGGATGGATCGTAGGCGCCAGCAGCAATTGGATCGGCTGGACCGGCCGGCACGCGCCGCGCTTCCGCATTGTAAAGAGAGAAATGTACGGCCTTGGCTTGCTGTACCTCGGGCGTGTCAACTACGCGGCCATCCGGACCTAGTGGGGCTGGTGGTCCACTGCAAGATGTATTCAGACGATTTTAGAGAATTAAGTATGATTAGATTGTGTGATTCTTGTTATAAATTATATTATATAATTATATGATATGATATAATATGATATGATATAATATAACATGATATGATATGATATGATATGATATGATGTGATATGATATAATGTGATATGATATGATATGATATGATATGACATGATATGATATGATATGATGTGATATCATATAATTATATTTTTTAATACATATGATTTATATGTATTAAAAAAATAGAATCTTGAAAAAACAATTCTTTCTAAATTGATTCTACACTAGAAAAACATTTGGTTGTATAAATTAAATGAAAATATTAGATTCAATCAGTACATCTGTTGGAAAGTGAACGAATCAAAATCTTTTTGGAAAAATTATTAGATGAGAATAATTAATTCCTTCTTGTTAAATATAGCAGAATTTTTCAATGATAAATTTATTTAGTTAAGTTAGCATAACTCTTTAGTAAAAAGAATATCTAGTGAATGTAAGTAGCAACTTTACAGATCCACTTGAAGATATTAATAAAATCTTTATAGTAAGTGTATGTTAAATCTATCAACTTACAGAAATCCAATTTAATATTAGAAATTATTTTGAATATTAAAAGCACTGAATAATAGTTAATCAATTTGATAATTCTGTTTGATCTCAGTAAAAAAAAATACATTTTATCATATACATACGTTTTGTTGGCAAAATAAAAATTTTTCTCAATAATTCTTTACAGTTGCATTTGGAAATAAGAATTTACGAAGACGCTTCAGAGAGATCCAGTCTAGTAACGCATGTTTGATACGAACCTGTAATGCGAAAGGTAATTTCCGGAAGCGTATCCGCTGGGCTGGGGATAAGCGCCAGGGTAAGCTCCTATTGGTCCCGGTCCTTTTGGTGCCCGTGCATTAGCCTCCGCTAGAGCACTCAAATGAGCAGCTTTCAACTGCGCGACTTCCGGTGTATCTACCACACGACCATCGGGGCCCAACGGCGCCGGAGAAGCATGGGGTCCGTACCACTGTGGAGCCGCCAGAATTGCGCTTGACATTGCAGAGAAGAGAATCTAAGAATTAAGAAATAATGTGATAAAATATTATCTTCTGGTTGATTTTTCATTATTAGGTCTATTTTTATAGCTGAACCAGTGTATACCCTTTGTATTTAAAGTGAAATAGATAGATATGTTTGAAATTTAACAAAAGCGAGAAGAAAAGTAGTTTTAGTGCAATCCAGTGTAGCAATAAAAACAAACCTGTTGTTTCTTACTAATATTCATTTTAAATATACATATATTAAGAAGCAAGCGTACAAAATTGAAAGAAGAATTTCCATTGGAAGAACTTTTCCTTTTTCCGCAATATCGAAAAGAAGAAAACGACATTGATTAAATTAATAAGTTACATGAGAGATTAGTAATAAAGGATTGATTAATTATCGACGTTAATATATAAGACTTAGAACGGGTTTTAGTTAGCCATTAATTATAAGTGTGTTATAATTATAAATGTGTGAGGTTTAAGAGAAATTATAAATCAAGTCCCTTCTTGACATGTAAGCTCCGAAGTAATAAAATTCTTATTCTTATATAAGGGTGGGAATAATAAAAGACTTAGAAAGTGAAGTAATATTAATTTCGTAAGAATTTAATATTAATTGTCGAGATGCGAGGAAAGTCGGTTGGGAGGAATTCCAGGTACTGAAAATCTCACAGCACCTCTCCTCGAGTTTGCAAGCGTACTCACGAAGTATCCGATCATTGCGGCGATCACTCTGCGTATCCCAAAGATATTCCGTCACCCTTAGATCTCGGCAAGACACTGCGGCTGTCGGCACGTGCGTTTAGATCCGCATTACGGTTGCCATCAACGCGTCTGGTGCAATTTATAGGGGTACGAGCATTGATCGGGCGTGTTGCTGCTGCCCGTACCCCGCCTGATCCAGCGCGACTCGCGGGGTAACAACCACACCCAGGAAAAGCGTTCTCCTTAACTGCAACGCCGTGCCCCGTAACATTTACTTACGCTAACAATGACACCCGTAAGCACGCGTGTCTCGTGACCTCGTCGTGTCAAGAATAAAAATGCGCCTAGACTATGCCGTGTTAAATGCGCGTCATCTGCGGATGCAGTTTACCGTCATTAAAGTCACTGACTTTCGCCAAAGTGACACTGGCACCGCGAAGCGAGTTATTTATTAACGGAAGGTTACACACGATTAGGTCGTTTGTGCTCTGCGCATTTTTTTCTTTGAAATATTGGAAGTGTCAAGTAACTAGATTATAATACAATACTAAGTTATAATACAATAATAAGCATCAAAAGTAATTATCAATTAGTTACAACATGATAATAATGATAATAATAATATTTTAAATTTTTTTAGAAATACATTATTTAAGCAAAGTATCTGAAAAATTTTAAAAACTTTCACATATACATGGCTTTAATATAGCTTATAAACCCATGAATAAAATGAATACATTTATAAAAACTGGAAAAGATCCTTTGCTTAAGGATGACCATCGTGGAGTAGTTTACAAAATAAATTGTTTAAATATTGTGAATCTTCTTATGTTGGCCAAACAAAAAGGAAATTAAAAGAACATAAGGAAATACTGACATAAGAAAATTCATTTCCGAGATGTCAGTGGTTTCACGTCACCAGTTGAATGAGATGCATGAATTGGATTGGGATAACATAAGAATTTTAGACACAAAACAATCATTAATGAAAAGAAGAATTTCTGAAATGATATACATTAAAGGCCAAACAAGTGGTATCAATAAGCAAAGTGACACTGAAGGTTTGCCTGATATTTATCCCTCTTCTTAAGAAAGATCTCTCTCACACTTAATAAATAATTCTAGAACTTTCTAAACGTTTGACTCATATATATAAATAGTGGTAAAATATATGACATGATAAATAATAACACACAATGTCACGACTTTCCATCTGTGCAAAGGATGTATTTGAGATTCATCATTATATATTTTTTTGTTGTAAAACAGGTAACGATTCTATTCTTACACATTTCGATTAGAAGATATTAATGATACGATATTAATGATAAATTTGTTAAATTAGAATCTGGAAATTCTCGTTCTACACTTTTCGTGATATGACAATTGGCAGTGTAACATTATTGTACGAGACTCCTTCACATATGCAAGAACACGTTTATATATAATTATATCATACGATGGTTGAATTTAATGTCAGCTATATGTATATATTATATAACTCTGCGTTTTAAGAATATTGAATTTACTGAGGATGGCCAGATTGTGGCCGAAACATTTTAATGTTTTAATTAATGTAATGATAATTAAATATCACAAACTATAACTTGTGCGGTGGTTTCTTATGTTCTTCTTTTCACGTTTTTTAGAAATATATATAGATACTTCTTTCCTAAAAAAATTTTATTTAAAAATTCACAATCACACACATAAGAAAAATTAATTGTTTTTATTTGTTCAAATGCTGTATGGACGATACAATGGGTAAAGTTCCCAATAAATTTTCATTGGCATTTTATTAAAAGGAAAAAGTATAATTCCTTGTCAGACCGATTTACAATTTTATCTTAGACTTATATCTTCCGGCCACAATCATGCAACGAGTTACACCCACTACACCCTGCAGTTTATGGGTTTATTTATCCTCACGTGTCATATCAATCACAATAGTATGTCAGGAGGTGGCGATAACAATAGTTGTTGAATAACTAAAACGGAGACGGTGGTGTCGCAACTGGCCACTTGGCCAGTTCATCGATCGCGCCCTATTGGTACGTCTGATCTGAAAAGTATTGCGCGTTTGTCACCAACGCAATACCGACGTGTTTAGGCGTTTAGTCGAGCTTGACGAAGTGACAGTCGATCGTGAGTGATCGATACGCACGATCGACATTCGAACTCGTGCTTCTGAACCGTAATTGAGCTCGGCATGTCGTCAGCACTTCACCGCAGAACTGCGAAAAAAAGTTTGTCTAACCGCGTGAAATAAAACATTTGTACTCGTTGTATAAATTATTCAAAAGGCAGAAACGCACGAAGGTAAAGAAAAAAAAAACATCGCATAATTAATTTCTGTTACTCTTCTATTTAACATTAGAAATACCAAGCGGTCATTATTGGCTGTTTTTGTTTTTTAGACTAATATTTTTTCTTTTGTAAAAGCTAGAAATCTGAATATTTTACTATATAATAATTATGTATTCCATATTCTGAAGAAATATTTGGTTTTTCACTCGTTTTTTTTATTTTTAAAACAATTTATTAGCTTGATCTTTTTAGTGGGTAAGAAACATTGACATTTAAATTTATAATATCAAATTGAGTTATTTTTAACCAATTTAAGTTATTTTTAATCATTTTTACATAGGTCGTTATAATATTGCTCTTACTTAATATATCATAAATCTAAAACAATAGAATTAAGCAATTTAACTCAGAAAGAAAAAAATTTTGTTTGTTATTTACTAACAATATAAATGCATGTGTTAATATATGGACGTTGTTTACTTTAGCTATAAAATAATTTAATAAATGGATTGATTTACATTTTGATACACTTGAAAGTTAAAATCAATGTATTTTTTAACTTGTTTAGAAGTATTATTGCTTCGTAGATGGATTATTAATTCTCTTTTGATATCTAACAGTTCTATTGTCAAAGTCACGAACTTGTCCGCAATATATTTGCACGCAAAGTACAAGAAGAAAATTTCTGATATAAAATTATTTATTCACATGTTACATTTTTTAATTATTGTATCGTTACATATTTATGTCGTGCGAATACAAAATATTTACGTTCATCCAAGCTGCACATCCGCCAGCGTGAACGTAAAAAGACGTGTTGTCACTTAATCCTTTGAAGTCACTGCTTTTACGCTATTAATACAGATAAGGAGTTAGATCCTTCCGGAAAACGTATGTTCCACGTTAAAGGGATTCAATATGAGATGTGCGGATAAGTGTTCGCGTACGATAGATGAGCAACCTTGGACAATTCGTGAGCGTGGGCGGTGAGATGCGCGGCCTTGGCATGGGCCACTTCCGGCGTATCCACTACTCGTCCATCGTGGCCAAGCGGTGCTGGTGGACCGTGATATTTGCCATGGTATCCGGAGTAATCGTGACTTCCGCCCGCGGGAGCAATTATGCCCTTGTATCCTCCGTCATAACCTCCGTCTCCGCCCCCGTAATATCCTCCCCCATAACCTCCCCCATAATGTGCCGTTTTGGCAGCTTCCTCTGCGTGCGCTGCTAGATGTGCCTTTTTGGCGTGAGCCACTTCCGGTGTGTCAACTACCCGACCGTCATGGGCCAACGGGGCCGCTGGTCCGTGATAATATCCTCCACCATGCACCCCGTTAACGTACGGCTGATAAGGTGCGTACGTTGGCATTGCCAGCGTCGACAACGAGAGGCACGATAAAACGATCTGAAAGGATGAACAGACGAGATATTTAGTTGGATCATCAAGATAAGGAACTACTATCATAAGAGGCAACTGCTATCATAAATCTATGTGTGCACTGCAAGATGATTCACAATCGGGATAAAATTATATTTATTATCAGACATAAAACTGATATGTTCATTGTGTGGAAAATTTAATGGCAAAGCCTTGTATAAAATATTTTTTTTTATCTAAATTGAGTATTATTTTAAGTAATTTAAAAATATTATTATTTTTTATATAATTGAAGAATTATTATTAAAAAATAATAATATTGTCAAATAATAAAAATATGTAATAAAATAATAAAATAAAAAATAATAAAAGTTAAATTAAATGGTTAGTTGTATAAAAAAAAATTGTTATTCTAAAAATAATAATATAAAAAAGTATTACTTTTAAAATAATGAAACAAAAATATAATTTTTAATTTGGTATTATTTTTTCAAAAAATAATATTTTTGTTAATAGACAATTGTAATTGATGAGGAATCTCAGGATAGGGTATCAATGTACTTACAAGAGTCTTCATGTTTATGCGCGCTATCCAAGATCAGGCGAATCTCTGTCCGTACAATCGGGCCACGTAGACTTTATATAGCCGACGAACAATACGAGCGTCTAATACAGACGTCTGTATACTAAATAGAGTAAACGCGAAACGTTTTCCAACACGGGCCCGCCCTGATTTTCATATGATAAAAACACGAAAAAAGTCCGGTTTTTTTGTTTAATATCCCTAAAAGCGAAATGGAGACACATCAAGTGGATCATTTTAGCGAAAAAACAAGAAGAGAGATCAAAAAAAATCATAGCACAGAGAAAAAACGAGAAAGAGTTAGAAATAAAGAGAGAGAGATAGAGAGAGAGGGGGAGAGGGAGGGAGAGAGAAAGAATAAGAAAAAGTGAAAAGGGGAGAAATAGAGGGAGGCTGGAATGTCAGCAAGAACAGAATTATGATTGCGCCAAAACGCGAACATTCTACAAATGATGTTGTACAATTCGCTTGGCAAAAAGTGTCAGCGGGCGATGGGAACGTTTGATCGATCGCTGTATCTCGTCGATCTCCCGATTTATTAGCGAATGCTCGCGAAGAAAGACTGAAGATTGGACCCAAGCAGAGAGAACAGCAAGTCACGATAACATTATATATAATGAATCATAAAGTTAAAATTAATCATGACTGAAAAAATAAGTTTTAATAATCGTTTTGGAATCATTGTGACGCTATCTTAATATCATGATGACGTTTGTTCTTGCTTGGGAAGGTCCAATATAAATCAGGAAGAGCAGTGAAGGCTGAAACAAGCGTTTAATCGCAAGTTTTTCAACCGTGTTTATTATATCGAATTTAATGTGACGATTAAACGCTGTCAATTATTCGTTCGTGAGAAGAAAAGCACTCTTTAATATCTTTGAAATTAAAATTATTCTGGACATTGACATTCTCTCATAATGAATTATAAAATACAGATTCGCACGCATTAATAACCATAACGTAATCCGCGTAATTATTATCTTGAATTAAAAGCTACTCGAAATTCCGTCACGTAAAAGCGCGTCTAATTACTTAATGAGCCATCACAATTTACTTCGAGAGCAATATAAGAAAAGAGTTAATAATTGTATCAAACATAATTGAATATCCGATCTTTTATTGTGAGATCTAATGAATGATTAACAATTAGACGAACGATACTTGGATGATTAAATCAATTACATCTTCGCGCACGGAAAAAGAATAATATATGAAATAATTAAATAATTAACATTAGCTAACAAAAAAATTTTGTTAATTGAATAACAGTATTGATACAACAAATAATATTTTATTAAAATGAGGACTTGATGTTGATGAGAAAAACATCGTTTTTTTTTGTAACACAGTCTCACACCGCTGATGCAAAAATAGAGAAATGTATTTTGTCACTTTAGTAAAAATCGACCAATCAGTTGTACGAATATTAGCCGAACAATATTCATCATTGGTGGGGTGATACTGTTAGGTAAGATAAAATCACCGATTGTATATAAACCGAGCATTTAGTTCTCGATGGTTATAAAACGGTGACACTTCCATTCAGGATTGAACGTAACAATGAAGTCTTTGGTAAGTAACTTTATTGGATTACGACTAATTTTAACAGTTAATCAAAAAATTCTCTCGAGAAATTTAATATTGTTACAGCTATGACACACAAAAAACATAAAATAGTAAGATGTAAGCAGTGAGTGAATCGACCAATTACAATAGAAACGTGAAACAATAACATAAATCCAAAATGTTGGTTCACTAATTACTTACGTCTTACTGTTTAAATTTTTTGTGTGCCATAGCATTAATAGTTAGTATTAATATTGTAAGTATTAAATTTATTAATGATTAATTATTTATTTTATAAGTATTAAAAGCACTGTTGTTAATATTTTTAATACTCAAAATAAGTAATTAATTATTAACTAATTTAATACTTACAGTATTGAATTTCTCTAAGGATTATTGAAAACTTTACATTATCATCCCTATCACTAATGATTAAATAAATTATCGGAATTGCGATAAAATTTACAATGAGAATCGCAAAACGATAAAATATTCCCTTCCGATTATTATTTAGAGATTAATTTTCCTAAAATGTTAACATCGAGGAGTGCTGTTTTTATTCATTTTTGGAAAAAAAATGTTTGGTTGAACTAACTGGAAAATAAACGAGCCAAAATTTTGGTTAAGTCTACTAGATTTCTGATTAAATTTACTAAATGTTGGTTATTTCAACTATAATTTTAATAGATTTAATCGGAAATCTTGCAGATTTATAACTAAAATTCTGGATTATTCATTTTCCATCAGAATTCCAATTAATTCATCCAAACATTTTTTTCTGTGCGTGTTCATAGATTTTCTTAATCATCAACGTTGCCATAACTTTGGCTACGCCAACGCATTACCAGTACCACGGACCACCGGCGCCCATAGGCCATGATGGCAGGGTCATGGACACGCCGGAAGTAGCACATGCCAAAGCGGCACATCTGGCTGCCGTAGCGGAAGCTGTCGCGAAGGTTCCGCATAGCGTGGCTTCCTACGTGGAAAATCAGGACTATCGCGGATATGCAAACCCCGTATCGGTTGATCATCAACTGTATCACAGCGGATACGGATATCACGGGCCGCCTGCCCCGTTAGATCATGATGTAAGATTTTTATTCTATTCATTGTCAGTCGAACAATTGGGGAGTTCAATGCACTTCGTGATTTGATAATGGAAATAATTCCTGAAAATGTGTCCAATTTAGATCATCATTTTCGAATTCTTAAAGATATGAATTATAATCTAATAATAATAAAATATGATATTAATTATTCTACTCTCTCTCTCTAAAACTTTTAGAGAGTAAAATCTCTCTCACTCTTAAAAATTGAAAATTAAGCCATTCTTTTTTAAGACTGGCTCAATTTTCACTCTTCGGGTGAGATTCCACTTCAAAGAATTTAGAGAGTATGCGACTTGTTGTACAGCAATAAAGATATTATTATTAATGGTAGTTTACATGCTTGAAATTTTGTAAATTTCTAGAAATGGACTTTACATTCTGTCATATAGTGGAAATTACAATAATTGATTCGAAAATAGTTTGACAACTATCAGGGAGGAAAGTCAGACGCAAGAATATCATCGCTCTCCATTTCTCATTGTCCCTTTTATTTTCAGGGTCGCGTAATAGACACGCCGGAAGTGGCCCGAGCAAAAGCCGCGCATCTAGCGGCTTACAATCACATAGCTTCCTCGACACCTGTCGCGTATGATCATTCGCAGATTTACAAGCCACCGGTTTACAATCATGACGGCTATTATAACAGTGGCTCGTCAAACCCCCAGTCTCACGATGACAGAGAGATTAACGGTTACAACGATTACTAATTTTGATTAAAAGAACGTACGCGGCAACGTCGAGTTGACACTGTCGCGATTAAATGATGACGTCGCGTTTAAAATCGACGCGACAAAATTATGAAATTGACGTTGCCACAAAGTTGCACAATTGGAAAAAGCGTTCCTTAATTTTATATGGATGGTAGTTAGTTATACAATGCGTTTTCAAGTTTCGTGATACGCTGTAAATGATATGCACCTTGCATCATCGGCTTTCAGGCTGAACCGTAAGATGCACGCATCGGATTGTTATCTAAGACGCATTTTAGCCTGTAAGAAATATAAAGCATTCCATTGTTGTTTCCTGATTTCCTATTTTATTACAACAGTATGCTCCCAATACTGCTGGTTTTACTGAATTAAGAATTTCTTTAACGGATAGCACAGATTTTGCGTAGATTCCTTTGGGAAAAATAAGAAAAATGTACGGAATATATTTTGTATCTATAAGAAAATTCAATATTCGTACTTAAAATGTATTTGTATACACAACAACTGAATTTTAATTTATAATAACATTATCACATGTAATCTTGTTATACTATCTTGATTATGGAAAAATCATGTTTAATTATGATGTATAAGATTATGATTGTTAACGTAGATATATAGAATATTGAACAGAATGTAACTTTTAAAATGACGCAATATAATATGTGTTATAATTTATAAACGTTAAAAAAAGGGCGCAATTTAAAGAGATATATTTTAGTAGCACGCTAATAATAATAATTAAATCTTAATATCATAATAATCAATTGCAATTCATAACATGCATGTAATTTTATTACTATCTTGACTACAGAAGTTTAATTACAATATAAGATCATGATTGCGACATAGATAGAATGTCGAACAGAATGTAATGTTTTAAGTGACTGGTTCTGTATTACAGTTTATGAATTTATAAATACATAGAAGAAAGAGTGCGATTTAAAGAGATATACCTGTTTCGGTACCTTTCGTTATAATAATCTAATCTTAATATCATAATATGTATTATTGCAATTATGTCGACTACGAAAAATCATATATTTTATTACCATGTAAGATTATGATTTCTAACTTAGATGGAATATCGAATAGATAATATTTCAGTGATCGATCTTATGTTATAATGTATAAACGTTAAAAGGAAAGGCAATTTAAAGGGATATATTTTAGTACAGCTTGCTATAATAATCGAATATTAATATCACAACATTATTGCATGTAATGATACTATCTTTAGTATGGAAAATCATGTTTATGACGTAAGATTATGTTTGTTAACATAGATAAAAATCGAACAGAATGTAATGTTTTAAGTGATCCTACATTATGATTTAACATTAGAAGGAAGAACGCTATTTAACAGATATATATTCCAGTGTGTGTGTGTCTGTGTGTTTGTATATGTTAGAATAAACAAATCTCGATAATATAATTTTATTTCTATATCTTGACTACAGAAGCTTATGTTTAATTATAATATTATGTAAGATAATAATTGTTATAACTTAAATAAAATATTGGATTGTAAATTAGGCTGTAACTTTTCAAGCTATGTATGAAACATCGGCACGATTAAAATTTATAGTTGCAAGACGAAAAGACGAGATTTAAAGAGATATATCTTGGTACAGCACATTATAAGCAGCATCATATCGTTGTCGAGAAACGATGTATGCAACAGGCGTACCTGTCAACATCCGCCTGCGGCCTCGCAGGCTGGCTAGCGGCATACCTCGTCGTCTTTTTACATTTGCGAATGAATCCGAGGAATGATTGATCCGGTCACTTAACCATGTCCCGAGCTCCCATTCCAAATACGTCGCAGTCGAATTCAATTCAAGGTTCGCAACATTTCACACGACGACTCCGACATCCCTTGAGCTATTGGTTTCATATTTTACGTCGACATCACGTTGACATCATTTGCGATATCGACAAATCCCTCACAGTCCATAAAGGAACGTTAATTTCGAATATTTTATGATTAATAGAAAACCTTAATCTCCATTTCATTAAATCTTTGATAGTTATCTTTTTTGTTCCTCTTTTGCGTGTTTTCTTTCAATGTCTATTTGCATTCACGTTACATGTATTTACATTTAATTTGATGGAATATAGCTGGCTTTCTCTTATTTTCACTTCTCTTTCGTCAATTTTGAAAGTCGATTTCCTCATAATGAAGCAATTTTCCATAGCAATTTTCCACGCAAATCTCAAAGTATCTTATATAATTACGCGTGTAATTATCTTAGCACAAGGAATCGAGGTTTATCGCAACAACCACTCGATTCACCTAGTACTTATAGGAATCGCGTTAAATCGATGAGTCGGCCCACACATGCCTGTTCGAAGGAAAACAACAAGTTAGCCGGCTAATTGCAGACGTCGTTTAATGGGCATTTAAGGCCATGCCCGGCTCGATTATGGCCATATCCGTATGTGTGCTTATGCTAATAAACAATAGGGACGTCAGGCGTGTCAAGATTATCTTGAATTCCAAGGAAAAGGGCTTTTGTTCCTCGCAACAGTCACGTCATTGCGTATCAATGCATTATGATAAAGCGCCCACACGAATACCAGGAAAATTTCTCAATTTTGAAATGGTGAAAACAAGTGAAAATTTTTATTCGCACGCGTTTAAAGAGCAATTAACAACACAACGTTCCGAACAGCGGTCATGCGTTACTCGTTGCGAAATCATGTTACTCTACATATGAGATGTGCCAAAGTAAAATATTACCATTTTTTAAAATTATTCAAAAAAGGGGAAACGTGTTTTTTTGAAAACTATCTTGGTGAAAATTTTTCTCAGAATTTTTCATATAATTTTTCAGAATTTCTATAATTTTTCAAAATTTCTATATAATTTTACAACTTTCTCACATTTTTTATACGAATTGGAACACTTCTCAGAAAATCTACATCTTTTCTCAGAATTTTTCATATATTATGTTAATTATGAAATATCGTAAAATTTCTAAGATTTTTTGTAAGTATAATTTCTGATGAAATGTTATAAAATCTAAAAAAATTTTTTAATATTTTTTTTTAATTGTAGGATGAGAAATTTCAGAATATTTCAGAATTCATTTGTATGAACAATTCTAAGAGAAGATGTAAACTTTTCGAAGATGTAAACTTTCTGAAAAGTGTTTGAATTCGTTTAAAAATTATGAGAAAAATTTATACTGCTTCAAAAGGTTGTTTTTACAAAAAATTATCGTAATAACTAAAGACTTAGTCAAAAAATTACAAAAATCTTTAATTTAAGTTCAAAACATTGTAAGTATCAATAAAAATGTAAGTGAAAATGTAGCATCGCCACACCTCATTTTTCTCCGGTTATAGCAGCACTTTCCATCAGATATTAGAATCTAGAACACAACACACTTACAACTCATTCATACAATAAAATGCGTTTGCACAATTTTGATACGTACATTTTGCTATACTATTATAATGAATGATAATAACCTCATATTTTTATAGTTATAAATATGAAACAATAATTGTATAAATCATGATAAAACATCAAGATAAGATGGATAAATAAAATAAATTTATATAGCAAATGAAATTGCAATTATAAATGACTATTTTTTTATTTCATTTTTTAATCACTTACTATTAATCACTTACATGGTAATAATAACAAAAAAATGTAGAAAATGTAAACAAATAATTCGTAAATCGTTTTCATGATTTTTATCTCTATTTTGTAACTTTTAACTCTATTTTGTAATTCTTAATTATTTTTGCGTAGTTTTTTATCATGTATAAAACTGTGTATATCAGTTATAATGATTATAATTTTGTTGAAAAAGTTGAAACAGTTATAATTTTCATGGTCAAAACAACTGTAAATGTACACTTGACACTGAAAATGACTATAAATTGTTGTTAAACTGTGATAAAAACTTTTTTTTCAATGCATTTTTTATAAGTGACTACTTTTAATACGATCTCTCATTAATCATTTATTAAATTATTTAGAGCGATTTTACTAATTAATCAATTCTGTTAATTCACCATATTTACGTATGTACGTACAAAGTAATAAGGTTAACAATTTGCCATTATGTGCAAATGTATCTTACAACTCGGTCGTGTTGCTCAACGATATTACATTGGCGTGGCGCGTATAATGAATTAACGTAACACTTACAAAAACGCACGTTATGAATTTACTACATTTCATTTTAATAAATGTAACAGATATGAATCGCTTAAATAAATATTAAAAAGTAGTTCTGCAAATTTCAAACCATTCTTCCGCAACTACAAGTTTCCTTGAATAAAATTCTCAAACGATTTCTAGAAAATATTTTCTCTCTAAAAGATCCTAGAAAATTAATGCGTTTTAATTTTGTTCGGAAGGAGCTTCCATTTTTGAGTAAAATAACAAAATTCTTGACTCCTTGAAAATTTTCTCCCGCGAGATATTACGGATTCTTAAACGTCGAGCGGTCGAAGCGGCTGCATGAGACCAGCACAAAGAGAGTTTCGTCAGGAAGTGAGACCTTGAGGAAGTGGAATTTTCGATCGAACAAAAAGACGTACTTGCACCTGCCGATACGTATCGGACATCGCTCGTCAAAAAGCGACCCGTCCTGATCTCATCCAGGAAAAGTTCTCGATTTCGAGGACGCGCGGCCGACCTTCATTTCGCGCTCTTTTTCTACGTCGCACCTCATACATTTTAATTGCGCCTTGTCCCTTCTACTTTTCGGCAGCTTTGATATCGGCAAGGACGGCCGTTGATCGGCCGCACCTGACAGTATCGGGAAGTCGTGGTATAGTCTTGTCTTAACGCAGTGAACGGAGATCCTCCGTTGGAGGTGCGCAACCTTGTTGATTTTGTTTTTTTTTTATTGAAGATTTTTCTCGCGGATAAATATAGGGATCTGTCAATAAGACACTGACAAATGCGATTATAAGTGTTCAATATCACACTTTTACACCTTTTATTATACTTTTAAATAGATGCAATGAAGAGATTGCGAATACATAGCAAAATTAATTGATCTAGATTAAGGCTGCATCCAGTTTGGATACTCAGGCATTATAAGCTTCATTCCGTTTTCTTTTCACAAATAACGAGTGATAAAAATAGAATGAAGCTTATCATTAACCTGTAATTAGATTATGTGGCTCTTGGTAAGCTTAGGACATTTTCCTAGTTTTCAAATAGTGTGATGATTTGGAATAATTTTTGTTTCACAGTTTGTTTTATTTATGTAGTACTATCATCATATTATATACTAACTATAAGTTCAAACGTTGCAATTCTTAAAGAAAATAGAACTAATAACAAAAAGTTAGGTTTCAAGGACTCATGTGTTCTTTTAACATAAAAAAATATGTATTATTGTTAATGCTAATTAAACAATTAAGTTAAATTATATGCAAGATCCAGCATAGAAAAAAACTGATGTATTTGTCTTAACTTTAATTACGTTGCTCATCAGTTAAGCTTCACTTAATACGTTATATAAATTCACATGCGCGTATAGGAAGATGATAGTCTTGCACCTTGCGGTTATACGTCCATGAAAGGAACGCTCATTATCCATCATATTCGCGATAATAAACAAGGCTTCATGGCCGGAGTCACTTTCCACGCAATTCATCAAGCAAAAAGTAATCGACCCCTTCGTGCGGCCAACCGCGCTGGACTTCCTGTTGGATCAACCGGGCTCTTGGCGGTCTCTCTTGACGATGATGATGAGGAGCGTGAAAGAGCCGGCCAACGAAGTCGGAAGACTGTACGAACGAGACTGACCTCGGTGATGCATCCACATCTGAGGAGAGGTGTATCCCTTCCAAGACAGATTCAGACGATCAGGCAGAGACTCATTAACGTAATGTCAATGTCAGATCTTTGAGGCATGACACAGGGTGTGGTCCCCTCCTACGGGTTGACGACTCCCTACCAGGATTCACATATATAAAAGGGGATACGAGCTTCAATACAGTACGACATAGCAGTCCATACTTTAGGGCGAGTACTGGTAATCACCCAGCAGCGCTTCATCACGTTGATAAAACATGAAGTCTCTCGTGAGTACCATCGGTTAATGGAGGGCCTCCGAAAGTTAATCTTACGGGCGAAAATTGCATACAATGGTCTATTCCATGATCAACATAATTATTGTCAAACACCAATGATACAATATGTATTTATTAGTTTTAATTGGAGCCAATATATTCTTCGCTATTAATTTTTTCCGTAGTTAAGTCACTCCAATTTTGGGACCAGATGCTTCGCAAATATTTAGGATAATTATACATAGAATTTACTCGTGTATTTTGCAGATTGTTCTATTCGCATTCTGCGCCATCGCGACGGCAACACCAGTCTTAGACACGCCGGAGGTAGCGCAAGCGAAAGCGGCGCATCTCGCCACCCAGGCTTATGAGGCCGCGAGGAACACGATCGGTTATGGATGGCCCGGTTATGGATGGTCCGGTTATGGATGGCCCGCCCTTTATGCACCTGCAATTGCATACGGCGCTCCCATCGGCGCGGATGGCCGAGTGATAGACACACCTGAGGTCGCCCAGGCCAAGGCTGCCCATCTCGCCGCTCACGCCCAAGTATGACACTCTTGGTTTAGAGATGGTTGTGCAAACGGTAATAGCTATTCGTGACCGATATTCAACGTAGTATCGCTCGTTATTATTAAACGTCGAGAGCCGCCGAGACAACGTCTCTATCTACGGTATAGAAATATTACATATATTCAGGTGTCAAGCCGCGATCCGATCATTTTGTTCCAGAGACTTTTTGGTAACGTTAGTTCATCTTTTGTGATTCCTCTGCATCGCAATGTCATATCGACGATTTAATTAAATATTTATTCACATAGGAGGCTGCCAAGATCGGACTGGTTCCATACGGTGCACTAGCATACGCCACCTCGCCTGCATTCTATGCTTACGCTCCACTTGGACCTGATGGCAGGGTAATCGACACTCCTGAAGTCGCCCAGGCTAAGGCAGCACATTTGGCTGCGCACGCTGCAGCCCGAAATGCTGTTTAATAAATTGTAAAGTAATCATTGGAAATTGCGTATTGATAAAATCAAGCTATCTCTACCCAATTACGAAAATACATGCGGAGACACTTGTGCCATGATTAACCATGTTTTATATGGATCTGATGTGAGGAAATTTTAACAATAAACAAGCCATTTTTAAAAATTGTATGCGATTTGGATTCGTTCTTATTAAATAAATTAAATTCAGAAGTATTTGATTCACAACAATTCAAAAGATAATATAATTTTCTTATATTGTGAATATTAAATAATCAGAAATAAATAGAAATAATGAATCTTTAAATACAACGAAATGTACACAAACGAGTTAAACTTTTCGTCGATATATAATTTTGCACCTTCCATCAGCAATCTGGATCTTTAAATTTTTCATTCTTTACGGTTCCATCCTGGGTATTTCCTTACCAACCGATTCCTGTTCGTGCAAATTTCTCGTAAATATTCTACGAATTAAATCGTATACTGCATTTTATTATTTATCAAATAAAATTTAAACGTTCTTTAAAAAGATTTACATAGTTTGCAAAATCAAATATGTACACAAATTCATACAGAAATATTTAAGTACTAAGATATCCACTTTGACCAAATACATACAGGGCTTCTGTTATTTAATTAAATTTATTCTCATCGGTTCAAATTTGTGTCATTATTTAAGGGGTAACATCTAGATGAAAATTTTCAAAAAATCAAAAAAATTTTTTTTGTCTGAAATGATGCTTTAAGTCTTAAAAATAAGCAATTGGTTTTATACGTAAAACAATTTTTTTAAATGGTTTTACGATTTTTACGATTTTTCTTAAAGCGCATCAGAGAAGCGCGCAGCAATTTAAGGCTTCTGTGTTCTATAAGTACATAATATCAATGTTAGTTCAAAATGTATTAAAAAAGCAGCTGAAGAAGAGAAGAAACTATCGATAGTAAAAGGACATAATAGAATTACTGTGTCTGGCCATAGAACGTGGAGAACGCGAGGATTTTCGTCAATTCGACTGTGTAGTCGCTCGCTCCGAAAACGTCTTCAAGTGGCAAAAAAATAATTGACATCGCTGCAAATATCGCGACTTGCATTTTCAATGAATTATCAAATACAATGGAAATTATGTAAGTGTTACAACTGACTATAGGCCACAATTGCTATAATTTCTGCGTCGAGGCTGACGCGCGTTAAATTTGTCGAGCTCTCGCTTACAGATGCCGTTAAGGACATAGAGCTTTCACATCCTTCAGAAAAGAGGAAAAGGAAACAAATATCAATGCGAAAGAACAGTTGTATGATGCAGACATCGTAGACTAAAGATAAATAAAAAATTTCTATAATTAAATATGAAATAATGTTACTCAAAACTTTAAACACGTTTTTCTCGAAATCATGTTTTTCTAATTGGCTTGCAGCATAACTTTAACAAACTTTATCCGATCCACTTGAAATTTTTACAATTGCTAAATTAAATTCTCTAGAGAAGCACACATGATTTGTATGATCGATTAAAACTTCTTTTATTATAAATACTTTTTTATTGAATTTTTTGGGTGAAAATGAAACTTTATAGTCACATGTTCACCATTTCTACAAAAATCAATATTTTAATATATAGGGGTACTTGTGAGTACTTCTCTAGCAAATTTAATGTAGATTAGAAAAAAATTTTGCTTTTTGTCTTTAGTGAAAGTGTACGGCACTTCTGCAAGTCCCGGAGACCTATGAGAAAAACGCAGTCTCATTTATATTGTAGAGTTCCAGCGCCGCTATCTTGACACAAAAAAATTAAACAAAAATTGTTTTGTGTCTTTATATATATATAGGTACATTAAAGACCTCTTCAATCCGAATTTTCACTCATCTTATTATTTGACTATAAAAAATTTACAAAGTTACCCTATGTTTTCAAGCGTTCACGTAGATGTTACCCCTTAAACATTTGTTTTAGAAAGTTGAAAGTGTGTTCGTAAATTTTTAGACAGTGGTACACTTGCACACTGTTGCAATTGCCCACTGCCAATCACAGCGACTTCTACATAAGGAGTTTTCTTTAATTTTTTTTCTAGCTCTGTGATTAGCTTGTGCGCAATTGGCTCGTGTGTAATTGATATACACGCAATTTTTAAAGATTTTAAAATCATTTTAAGAGTAGGTAAAAAAATGAACGGATTCAAGATACTCAGACTTATACCAGACATCGTTTTTATTTCATACCGCAAGGGTTATATAATTTCAAACTGTATAAAAATCTAAAAAAATTCTTGCATACTTGTGAAAGTTTTAACGAATTTTTACTATTATAAAAGTCAATTTTAATTATTTTTTAAGCGTTTTCCACTAGAAAACCTTGTCCAGCACCAGCGCTAGATTTTGATGCTATTGATATACATCCAATTGATAGCTATCATTCGGATTGTATAATAAAAGTATTTTTATTTTTTTTCTATGTATCCTGAGCGGAGATACATATAATTACACAGACCTAATTGTTTATTTTACAATGATATTCTGATTTATTTACTTAGTTTTAAAAAATTTTTTAAGATTAAGATTTTTAAACATCAAAATTTTAATGTCATTTACGTACTTATTGTTAGAAACACCAAAATTAAAAACAATTTTGTTGTATGAAGTTAATTAGAATGATGTTATATCTTAAAGCATGAATACAATCTGAATTTATTTAAACTGATTTCCATTATCTTTAAAAAGGAAGAAAACTGAACTTTAGTATAATGGTGCTTTTTTGCACCAGTTTTGTCCGTGAAAGATTACACTGAAAATATGTAAACTGATTTTCACAATGAAACATACAATAATACAATTATACTTGGTGCTACACTAGTTTCCTCAACAAAAAATGCTGTACAAATTGCAATTTATTTATTTTACTAAAATTCATAATAAAAATTGACTGTTTCTTCAAAATCCCACATTACCAGCTGAAGGGCAATTAATTTAAATTGTTTTCTAAAACAATATTCAATAACCACATCATAAAAATTCTAAAAAAGATGAATGATTCAGACACCGTCATTCTGCACATTATTCGACCTTTCCGATTTCGAGCGCTTTCCGCGCCATAGCCACCGCGCCGTCCTTGGTTTTATGACCGCCGATGAACCGAACAGAATGCACGAATATGGCGCCTTCAATTCCACAGGCTTCCACAAGGGCATTAGCGCGCAAACCGCCCCACGCTGCTGGCAAAAACATCCTGCATACGAAACTTCCCAGCGCTACCGGCATACATTGAACCCGATAAGCGTTATCAGCCTCAAAAATGGCATACTTTATTGACGGTGACACGTTCATATCCTTCTCCAATTGAAACAAATGTTCCTTCCACGGTACTGCTTGTGACAACGCTATTATCTCTCCGCTAGGATCGACCTTACGGAAATATTTTAAATTTAAACCACAATCGGAATGTCTGAAAGCAAAAAGATAGAGATAGTCCTTACTTCAAATCGATTCTCCACAGCGCGTCGCACGAGATCTCTTGCCGGTAACCATACGTTTTTCGAATATTGTACAAATTCTAAAAATTCCTCCAAAACCAAAGCCATAGCTTTCTCAAATTGTTTCTCGATATCTATATCCTGACTATTCCACTGAGGATTCAGTCTGCTTACGCGCGCACTTAAGTCGGTAACTATTCGATATCTAAAACAAACGCAAGTGCAATAATTTTGAAGAAGACTGCTGTGTAATGTATCATCATAAGTGCTTACAATGGTTCAGCATCATACATGGGTATGCCGTTATCTATACCATCAATTTCCTTGATTAGAGTGTCGTAGATCTTCTTGAAAATCTCATCGATGATTCTATCCTCTGTTATATTCGAAAGTATATTCCTTAATATCTCATGACCAAAATGGCAGTAGATCAGTCCGGCACTGCTTAGTTTTATTGTCCAATCGTATCCTGGTTTTTTCATAACGGTACTCATCGATTCTTGGAATTCTCTGGTACGAGAAAATAATAAATAACACAATGCGATAAAAATAGAGATTTTATTTAATGGCGCCTCTGGTGAAAAATATTTCATAATATCACATAATATCTTCAAAAACATGTTTTAAATTTATAAAGTTTTCTGAAAAAATACTTTAAACTTTTTGAGATTTTATACACGTGTTTTCTTTAGAAATTATAGAATGAAAAATCTTAAGAATACTTTAAAATAGCTTAAAATATTTCAAAATTCACATATATGAAGAATTCTATAGTAAAAAAGATAGTAGACTTTCTTACTATTACCGAAAAGTATTCCAATTCGCATAAAAAAAATCTGAGAAACTATTTAAAGAATTTTAAGAAAAATTTTCGTGAGAGGTATCATTAATGACGCTGATGTCAAAATCTGTAACAAATTACTGAATCTGTGAGATCCATTTAATTTATTAATTAAAAGACACTAATTTCAAGGAATTAAAATGACATAACTCATATAAAATAATGAATACCAAATATTTTTTTAATAAAACTGACTCCAAAGGACTTCTAATTATATGACGGTAGATAGAAAATTGGGTCTTAGTGAACGAATTTGTTTTTGCATATAAGTAGTGTAGCTTATAATGTAATAAATAAAAGATATAGAGTTCAATAATGAATAGTTTTTGAGTTATGAATATTATAGTATAGCAAAGGTGTAAAATTAATATTATATATTGTATTGTGTTACTATTATATTGTATTATTATACTGAATTATTGTATTTTATTATATTATTATTACATTTATATATTATATTATATTGTATTGTTTATACATTAATGATCATTAATGTATATTAGATAGTAAAAGTCTTGCTTGTGTTTTACCTTTTTTATTGTTGCAATAAATCAAATTAAATTAGAATTTGCTCATAAAATATTTTTGATACACTATATCTTAAAAAATCCATTATTAAGCCTTACATTTATAACATATTTTGTTTATTATATTATTAGGTGTTGGAATTAATTCGTAGCGTTTTTAATGAAAGAATGTTATTTATTTCACATGAGCATTAAAAAATACATTAATGAAAGTACTTCCCATCACATTAAAAACGCTACGAATTAATTCCAACACCTAATATAAGTTACATTATATGTGAAAACTCATTTTATCGAGATTCAATTTTCTATATAATTAATATTTTGTAGATGTAGGACAAAAAATTAAATAATTTGACAGAGATATAGTATAGTTAAGTAAGTCCAATAGACTCACCGATCTAGAAAAGTAAAAGTAAATTAAAAAGTATGTTAAGTTTACCTCATGTGATGGTCATATCGATGCCTGGATGGATCATACTCTCCACCAACGTCCACCACGATATCACAAGTATCCAAGACACTCTGACTTCGAGATCTAAAAATGTAATGGGATATCCATGGATTCTGCAACCCAATATTTTCTATTCATTTCATTTCAATAACTAATTCATGTCATTTAACTAATGTCCTTTACCAACTTTATCAACATGATTTAATTACTTAACAAATATAAAAATTTATTGATTATATTTTGTTGAGAATATTGAGTTATATTGGACAATATTGTATCAATAATTGCTATTAATGTCTATATTTCTATATACCAATGTAGATTAACATTTAATCTTGGTTTAATTTACTCCTTAGAACTAAAATAGACAAAAAGTAAGTTAAACCAAGTTAACTTAAGATTAAAGTTGACCTACATTGATAGAACAGTAGGGTTTCAGCTTTAGCTTTGCTACAATTACCTCACTATAGAAGCATCCTTATACTGCGGCAGTAGTTTCAGAAGCGCGCAGGCAAGGACTTCATCGCAATGAAAAGTCCCGTCGTGCGTACCGATCTTGATGGTTGACTTGCTCGACATCGTTCTGAGAATGAAATCGAATAGACACGTTTCCCGCCACGTGAAAAATTTAGAGAATTCGCCGGAACGCGCGTTTCTTGATAATCGATTGAAAACTCGGATCATCGAAATAAATTACGACTTGAAGCTATATCAAGTAAATGTCTAGTATTACTATTAATCTTATGAATTCTCACCAAACCGTAGCGAAACGTGAAATCCGCTGGAAGCTCTTTACATATGGAAGTAATCCAAAGTAAAGTAACCTTTAAATTGAGGTTATATGTCTCAATGATGCATATCGCTGACTATACGTTTTATAGAAACACATATGTATATTTGATCTTTTTGAATCCAAAATCTTTTTCCTACCGGCGATTGGTTGATACAAATCGAGTTTGAGTCCAATAGGATGACATACATAACTTGTTGCTCGCTAATATTTTTAGGTTAAGTGAGAATTATTCAACAATGTAATTTGTAATTTCCCATGCGAAACGAGATTTATCAATTGTTTACTAAATGTAATCTTAATGTATTTAAATGTATTTAAAATTTAAAATATATTTGCGAGGATGATGTCAAAATCTATAATAATTATTAATACTGTATCTGTAAAACTCATTTATTTTTATTAAAAGCATTAATATAATTTTAACACATATAATTTTAAGGAACTCAAATAAGTCAAATAAAAAAGAACAATACTAAGTATATTTTAATAAGAACAATCCAAATTTACAGATGCAACATAAAGATTGTTTGATATTGTTGTGTAAAGTGGCAATTGTTACAATAATAAATATTAGAATTAAGAACTAATAGTAAATTCAAACTTTCAATTTGTGTCATTTTTCTTGTGAGAGTGCAATATGTTGTATTGGAACTGTAGTAACATTAGGTATTAGTCAAGTTGCTTGTATTTTTATATAATAACTTTTAATGTACTTACAGAATGGTACAAGTGACTAGCCTTGTAGCAATACGATTCCACTTGATGCAATAGTTCCTCTTCGTTGCCAGTTTATAACGTACTACTACTATGTTATTTTAGTTCGTTTAAAGCTGGTCTTGAAAAATGCCAAAACGTACTTGTCCCTTTGAAGGGGACTGTCATCTGTTGCCACAGATGAAAATGCATGTAGGAGAAAAGCAGGTGGATAATGGTATATCGAGTGACCAGCGGATGAGAGATGTCTATAGTAAGTATTAAGTTCGCTTTGTGAGATGTATGCTCTCTTTTAAATCTTAAAATTCGTTCCTACTGAAGCTGATCATGTTGATCAGCATACTAACTTCCTCTACTTTTATAAAAAGAAAGGAACTTAGTTGAAACAGTATGTCAATTCAATGTGGATGGTCTTTGACTTTATGTATTTCCAGGTAGAACCCTGAATTTGCTTAAAGCAGGTGCGAAGACACTCTCCCATAAATTAAACACGTCAGGGCCAATGGATTCTCTAGACTTACCTTCACCTCAATGTCTGTCACCTTGTAAATTCAAATCTATATCCAATATGAAACAGATGCTGTTGACTGACAAATTGCAATTGAAAACTAGTGATAAAGTTGTCAATGTGGGTTGCGGAATTATATTGGCACTTGGACCATCTTATATGGCTTGTGACTGTTTGTTTTTCTTCCAGGATATCCGGGTAGACCTCTGCGGATGTTACCGATTGATAGATCGGTCTATAGTAAGCGCATGTTATTACTGTGATCAGGCGTTGTGTTCCTCTTGTCAGTCTATGTGCGCCAATTGCTCAGAATTGTTTTGTCAGAACTGCTCTCTACCTGTGTAAGTTATTAGCTATGTATGCCTTTATAAAAGCTTCATATGTGCGTAACTGTATGCGTTGTCTCATTTCAGATATAATTGTGACGAACAAATCATGTGCCTTAATTGCTATCGATAACTGTCAAAAAGAAAGATATTTTTACGCGAGTCTTTTACGAAAATTGATATTTATTTTATAGTATTATTAATGTAAAAAGAAAATTGGTACAAATATATTTTAAATATTATTATGCAATGAAAATTTACAAAATGAAAAAATAAAGTACAAATCTATGCTAAAAAAAAGTTTTGTTTGTTTTATCCTGTAGGTGTTTTAAATATTAGATAATGTTTCATTAGTATGTAAAAAATAAATATATTTAATATAAAAATTTTTTAATGTAAAAGTAACGAATAACATTGTTGCTCATATTTCTTTTTTATTTAATAAGAGTTGCAGCTTAGGATTTCTTATATTTTACAATACATTTAAGTAGATTATGATTCTCACTCAGAGTTGTAAATCACAATTAATCGAAGATTTTTAACATGAAATCTTCTGAACTCATAAAAAATCCTGGCTGAGGTAATATTTTTCGCAATAAGTTCTTTACCGAATTAATTTAGGGCAGGATTATTTCATATATAGGAATGTCCGAATGTTTCGACTCCTCATCATGTTTATATTATTAACATTTCAGATCGATTGTAGTTAATGTCCAAATGTTTCGGCGCACAGTCACATCTGAGATAATTAAATTTAAATTAAGAATATATATTCATATGTATTCATAATATCTAACGTTGACCGATTATTGGCGCTTTCTACAATATGTATGTTATACATTAAAAAATATTTAATTTAATTTAAAAAACTTAGTTGAAAACATAACAAACTTTAAAAAATTTTTTTAATTCTAAAATTTCCTAGTACATTTTTTATATAAAATAGTTTTGTATTTTATATTTTGTATTTTAACATCTAGAAAAAAGAGTGTATGTAATTTCTCAGTGTATAAAACGCATATAAAGTATATAGAGAGTAAAGAGACATATATAGAGAAACTACTTATATTTTATAAAATATATGTAAGATGTAATTTTTCTCATTTTCTATTTGTTAAGTACGTTTGTATATAGTTTCCTAAAAGTGTGAAAATCTCATAATAATTTTTGTAAAAATGAAGCACGTGTTCCGATATTTCAAAAAAATATTTCTAGCTTTTGGTGCGAGTGCTGGTCAACGACATAGTACGCAAGAATTATTTTAATTTATTAATACACAAAGTGAAAAAAAAAATTTTTTTTTAAGTTAAATAGGAATATAGAAATTTCTTCGATTAGCCTTCTTCCAAAGCCACAGGCGAGGTTAGATTTTGAAAAGGTTTGTCGCGATTCTTCATTACAAATTTTTAGCGTCACCTTGCTACTAAATCTTCTCTTCAATTAACGTAAAGGAGAAGAAAGCGTGGTCAACTCCATACTCCATACTATCATATAATCAGTAGGGATATTCAGGGATACTATGTGAAAAAACGCTGCCCAGTGTATTATTATCACAAATTAAATTGATGTGAATTGCAGCTGCGACATGTTCTCATGTCTGTACACAGAATGATAAAGAGAAACAACTTTCCACACTTTTAAAAAACCCTGTATAATGAGATAAGACTATATTGTTCATACTTGTATTAATTGCAATGAAAAAAGTTATATCCTGTTATCAAACATTTATAATTAGATAAATCAGTATTATTTATACATCTTAATATATAAAGTCTATAAAAATATATTAACTGATTCGTTTGAGCATAAATATCACTCAAATTAATTTGTCAACTAACAAAGTCTTATACAAATTACTGATATTGCTTTTGTGATGTAGCTTATTTTTAATGTGACAGATGAAAATTGTCTTGTGAATATTATAATAGAATTATTAGTTGTGACTTTTTACATTTTTCTCTGTTAGTTTTTATTATAATATTAAAAAAAAAAAAAATTATTGACATTGAACATTCAATCAATTTTCTACAAAATTAACAGAAGAAAAAATCCTTGTTAGATAATACTCTTATAAAATTTATACAGAAGTTATGTCCGCAGAGTTCTTCACGTTTTTACGATAATTTGAAAAATCCACAGCTAAATCAATTTCATCTGTTTCCTCGCCAAGAAGATGGCCTTCCTCGACTTTTGACTTTCCAAATATTCTGTAAATAGATTTTGTGCAATGCGCTAACATTAATTTTAATATTAGCTAATTTTTCACTATCCATAGATTTGTATGTGACAATGGTATATAGCGTAATAATATATTATATTAGTTTTGTAAATGCAATAAATTCAATAAATTATATATTTGTTATTTTTCCCAATGGAGATGTAATGTATTAACAGCATGAAAAATATAAAAATCTGCATAAAATATACTTCTTTTCATGTAAAGTACATTCTATGGAGGTGATTATTGCAAACGTATTAGTCACAAGTAGGATATAATTAGGTAATATAATTAAAGATGCACATATGAGTATTTATCCATTGAAAATATTTGTACAGTAGAATAAAATTCATACATTATATTCATACAGTTTTTCGGACACAATTACAATCCACAGTGTAACCTATTTACATATTTCACTATATTATCTATATAATTTATTCATTAATTACTTAATCTCATTCACTATTCATTGTAAATAACTATTTCTATAACGAAGATAATTTCAATTAGATAATAATACATTTCTCCGCAGGCGAGAACGTTCTTTTTCTCAGTCTTATATTTTGTTATAAGTAACGAACCAGCATTTCTTGAGAATAAGTGAAACTTTTGTAATATATGAAATAAAATCTTCTAGCAGAAATCATAATTTCAATCAAATCCATTATGAAATACGAATAACGTAACTCATACATGAAATTACAGCTTGATTTTAGAAAACACATACAGAATGATTCTTAATTCAATATATATAGTGATTTCAATTTCTTTTCAATCTCTCAAATAAGAAGTTAGGCAGAAGTTGTATTTTTATACTTTGGAAAAATTTTAAGAAGTGAAAATTATTAAGAAAATATATTTCAAAAAGAAAATTGTAGGAAAACATTGATTGATATTTTCAAATTAAAATCAAAATATGATATAAATAATATAATATATAAAATATATTTTACAAGATCTATGTTTATCAAAATATGAACTTAATTAAATTATATAAGTTATTTACAAAGAGTATAAGCATGAAGTTATTGATTAGTTACATATGATTATATTATTCGCAAACAATAAACACAATATTCAATAAGCAATAAGCGAAGAGAGGGAAGAGCATAAGTTGCATTATCAAAAATAAGTTTGGCATTTTGTACATGGTTAGTATAAGAAACAAATAATTTCCTCCCAAAGTTAACATCAGTTAGTTGTGCAGAATGTTAAGCAATGGAGTTGCTGCCAATGGAGTTTTGTAAACGCAACATATTCATTTGCCTATACCTGGACAATGTGGATGTCGATCTATTTATTGGTACGACCGAATC